AAGATCAATGTAAACTTCATAAGTACCAAACTGCACCATAGTTGCCCAGTCTTAATGTTACAAGTGATGTCCTTCCATGTAAACACTGTAAAATATAGTTAGGGGAATTTACGGCAAGTTAGCAAGAAGCAGTGAGGTGACGGATAAGGGTTAACTTGTTGTAGGTAACTATACACAGTATATTACAAATATGGTCAAAGACTTTACAAGCATGTTTTTTGTTACAGTGATCACTTACCCTAGGCGACTTCAGTAAAAGGTTTGAGTTTAAAATTGTGGTAAGCATTTAAAATAAGGCTAAAATATATAAGAATTACCCCACTGGGATTATTATTGTCACAAGTAGTGTTCGTACTCCAGGGTTGTAGGAATGCTGACCTCGGCTCCTCAGTTCCTGTTCTAAAGGAGCAAGGGCAAAAAATTCTTGGGCCATTCTATGGAAAATAGGGACCTTTTAGCTGGATTTCAGGATAACGGTTAGCTCGCCGTGTAGAAGGGAGCTGAATCCGTGCCTATCGGGAAGAACAATCATCACGGCACCACCCAAAGGCCAGAAAAAGATAGTCTTGCTCCTTTGTCTTTGTTTAGGTACAAGGCAAACAAGTTTAATGAGATTTCTGAGAATATTAACTGCTGTTATTTTAGTTTGTTTTCATTTCTTCGGACATGTTTTGAAAGCGGTGGTGTTCCGTCCAAGGTGTAGGCCTCCCCGGGCCTGTACACTACGCAGCCTGGGATAGGTTCCAGGCCCCCACTGACCAAGATAAGAGGTTAGGTGATGGATGGATGGATGGATGGATGTTTGAAATGTTGTGGTCGAATATTTATGAACGGGCAAACCCTATTCAGGGACGTGCATGAAATTCAAGTCGCAATTTAATGCGGTGTCAGTCTCCTCTGAACACCATATACTACATATCAAAATACAAAACAAAACTTTCCAGACGACGATATTTTACATTAACATACCACATGTTAAATACTTGCTTAGAACATGTCCCATCAGCCGTGGTCACCTCCATCATGCCAAGAAGTAAAACCAAACGATAAGGTGACCTTCGTTCAGATATTTACGATCCCATGTCCACCAAGTACAGGCATTCGAGCAGACGCCACGCTATGTCACTTGACTCTGGTTCTGGGAATCTGTTCATAAACACTGAGCCACTATGAACATGCAATTAACTACAGGTACTACTAAGCCTCAGAGTTAAGCTGAAAAACCCTGTTAATAAAAAGATCTGCTCGATAATAAAACAGCTGCCAGGGTCAGCCTGAAAGATCTCTGGCTGTGCCTATCGATTCTCGGCAGATGAAGGGTCCTCAGCCAAGTTAGCAGGTCTTTGATTTTGCCCGTCCAAATCAGATACACTGTGAAATTGGAATAGTACCAAAAATGAACCTAAAAATGAGGCAAATCTACAGAGACATGTTAGAAACAGAATACAACTCCAAGTAGCATTGTTACAAAAAAAAAAAAAAACCAGGTCAAAACACTTTCAGCTAAAGCCTCTCTCCTGATGAGACGTACTGCAAGGTTCCAGTTTAAGGTGACCTCACAGAGACAAATTAAATGACATGCAGAAACTGAAAAGCGGATTTCTCAGGAGAACCAAAGACTAGCCAGCGAGCAGCGCCCATGACCTCAGGAAGCTCAGCTGAGAAGTCCGCGCCTGATAAAACCCAAATCGCCCCTCAGCATTTTCCTTTCTCTGCGTTACTTAATTAATGACATCACACCTAGATTTTAAGTAGATTAATTAGTTGAAGGTCAGACAAAGATAAAGTCAATTTAAACTGGGGTAACTTAAATCCAACAAGTTTCTAGCTTAACAAGAAATCCTGCCCGTATTCTATATTTTAAATAAGAGCTCTTCCTTGGTTGTTTGCCCTGAGACAAGGCAAACGCTTCATTAGACAGGTAAGCGCGGTACATTCAAAGCCCCTTTAAGCGTTACACCTCCAGTAAACGCTTGTTGCTATTCGTTTGAAATTTGCAAGCATTTCAGCCTAATTGCGAGTAGCTCCAATGCTAGAGATGTGCCACACACACACTGACCAGTAGAGAATCCAAAAATCCAGAATGACAGAATGTCAGCCATGGCTTTTTAGGGAACCTTCCAAAATCAAAATGAAAAGGAATTTACCTAGTTGCATGCAAAACAAAATAAAGCCAATTCAAGTCTTTCGAGACACTTCAATACATGGGTTTAATCAGTTACAGAAACTACAAAGGATTTATGAATGCAGGGCACAATCACAAGGCACAGTCGAATGCTGGTACCCCACCCAGCCTGTAGAAACTAATATCTGATTCAGCTGATTCATGATGATTCCACCAGTATGTGAAGAGTCCATTGACTAACCACCATCTTCTGGTGGTTTAAGCATCTCATTTCATCTTTCAAAATCAGAACATAAGTCTTGCACTGCAGCTCAGGATGACAAAAAAAGGAATGATTTCTGGTTCCCTACTGGACTAAGAACTTATGGTCTGGAAAACATCTATGGGTACAAAGGAAGTGTTTTAATGCGCTTTAACACTTACAACCCCATTGTGTTAAAGTCCATCTAGATGGAGGATAATGCTGGAAATCAGACACCTTAACTTGGATGACAGAAGTCCGTCTCTCCGGGCCCCTGTCCATAAACACCATTCATCTTTACTAAAGTGGTTTTCTTGGTGCACTTGTTCCTGGAAAAGGAGGACCTGGAGCGGCATATAAATCAACTAAAAGGCCATTCCACTAATCTGGATGAAGAAAGTTAAACAGGCATTAGGGAGAGTACTCTCAGCCACCCAAACAGCCGCCACAAGTACTCTGAAACATCAGTGCATGCACTGGGGAATTTGGATCCATCCATTGTGGCTCTGACGGGCAGCCCGTACTGAGAGAGGACGACATAAAACTAACGGTAAAACATATTACTTTTGTGGATTACTGACAATTGCCCAATTACACATCTTGAATATTTCACCTAGCAATACTGTGATACTACCCTTCTTGGGTCTGGTAACGTGGTACTTCGAACTATGTTAATGTACCATGTTAACAGCTGTCACATTTATTCAGTAAACATGTATCCATCGCTCTTTAACAACCAGAACAGTAGTTCTGCAGGAAACATCCTAGTAGATCTGGGAAACACAGGCTTGAGAAAGTCATAAAAATCGCAAGTTTCCGGCATATCTTTCTGTGGCTCCGGACTCGATCTTATCTACTTGGCTTTCTTCCGAACAAATGTGTGAATGACGCTATGAAAACAAAGCAATCTTGGGAGAGCTGCTGCAAAATCAAGACCAAACACACCCACATCCCCAAAGTGAAAGAAAGGGAACCTTTCAAGGAACTGATGTCTAAATGCCAATAAAAAGTCATACATAGAAGTCCGTCTCAATCGAACATCATTATCTTCAAGAGTTACTCATTATTGTGAGTTTCTCTAATAGTTTTAACACATACAATCGTATCAATTTAGTAACATCGGATGAAATACACGACAGTGTAATACTACCGCTTGGTCTGCTTGCTAAACCGATTAACTATGTTAATTGTACTGGGGATTTTCCCTATGAAGCTGCAGATAGCCATCAGTTATTCTTATGCTTGGTACGGTTCCTGGCGCTGGTTTCCCAGGCTGAAAAAGCAACAACGGATTGCGTGTCTTTTTTCCGTCCTGGAAGCCGTCACGATCTGTTGCAGGCAACGACAGAGGTGCACCGTCGTTGTACCGAGATCAGCAGAAAACCCACAATAACAAACACAGCCAATACTGCTTAACAAATATAATAAATATTTTCAAGTTATTCTCACTTTAATAACTCGTGGCGTGCTTTATAAATTGAGTACACGGAGCACATGGGGACATCATTATGCTTTATAGGAAATTGTGTATATAGGCTACATCTGACGAGTAACTAAATAATGTCTTGTGCACTGTTTGGCAACACACCAGAAAGATCACAATATTTCCCGACTTGATCAGACCACTTCCTAACCACTGGCCTGGACGAATAAAAGGGCACCTTGGCATTATTTCAAATCATTTGGCTTATTTTCATTATGCATGTAAAGATATGATTGCGTCGAACAAACATTTTCCTGTTGAAATTTCGAAGTCCGCTTCGCTTTCTTTGTAGTCATCCAGTTGTTTTAAAGAACATCGCAAACGAAAGTAGCTTTCCCCAACTTAAGCCAGAAAACACTTACAGATTTATTAAGCATTACTTACATACATTCAAAATTTCTTAGTCACAATTTTATCTTCATGATACGACAATTCCGTGATGAAACATTTGTTATTTACTCATGGACAGTTAAGCGTTAAGGTCACCTACCTTATTATAGCGACTCTGTAGTTGTAAGTGATGGAAAATGTTTTTTCCGGTTATAATCTAGGTTATCTAGTAAAAAATAAGTATTTCAAGATTTAGCCTTAGATGGAAACAGTACTTCAAGAGGCCGATGTTTTTCCTCTTCGGAAGCAAGACAAACAACCACACTACTCACAACTACCGATTCTCGAAGCCAGGAGCGCGGGCGTGTTTCAAGGGGCGTCGCGGCACCGTTCGTTCAAGACTGACGTCACAAAGTAAATACCACCGTATTTCTCCGAATAGCAAAGGAAATGCGACTTCGTCACATGCAATTACGGTATTCCGACTAAAAACAATTCGAAGAAACTGCTGCAAACGTAATTTTCTTATTTAATGATCAGCTGCAACCAATAAATTGCTCAATTACAAAAAAGAAAAGATAGGCTTGCGTAATAATCGCCTTAAAGCCTTTCTTATATGAATGGATGAATTAATATATTTTTGGTGTTTTAACTGTCATCAGTACAAGCCTATATAAATATTGTATACAGATATACATCTCACAAAGTATTCGTATATTGTGTACAAAAACAGGGTCAGGAAAGTTAAAAAAAAACAGGACATTGCTATACCCACAATACCTGTTCTTCAAATACGTTTGAGGAGAAAATACCGACAAATATTGCCCACCCAAAAAATATTTATCAGTCAATGGTTAGGGTGTTCAACAGAACTCTATTATCATCAAAACACGTGGGATACTGTACAACATTAAAAACAAACGGTGTAATGACAATGACACATACCCAATGCAGTGCATCTGAAATGTAACCAATTAATAACGGGGAGGGGAATCAAACACCCATTTTTCTACCTCCCAACCCGGTACCCATTACAGGGTCACAGAAAGGAAAAACAAACACATCCAATGCTTTTAACCCTTACTAAAGTGACCACAAATTCTAAAATAACTGTGAAAGGCAGGCTAGATTTCACTGGGTTCACATGAATCATGTTGTCAACCATTGCCCATATACTTTTCAGATGCAAGACAATATAAACTTCTAAAAGGTATTTGAAGAACATGTTCTTTTTAAAATGTTAACTTTAATAATAAATGCTGGATAAAACCAAGGTCTCTTCTTCTTAAAGACACTGAAAGTCATTATGTCTGCAGTGACATAACTACATTAAACTATGTCAGACGGTCAAAGTGAAGACACCTTAAATTATCTCCCAGTGGAGTATCCTTAAGAGAGTCATACATGTATCTTAGATAAACATCCCTGGTTTGACATTGCATTACATTTCACTCTTGTACTGTTAGGTTGGCATGCATCTCCTTATACAAGGGCGATAATTATCACGAAATGCAAATAACTGCACAACGTGATCTCAAAATAAAAACTGCAGGATATTGCATACAGACAAATTGTTTCGTATCGAACACATTCGCCAGTCCCAAATGCATCACTCTCGATGAGCTGCTGACTGGAGAGAATTTGGAGAAACCCAGTGAAATGAAATGTCACAGGAAAGGTCGGCAGAACGTCAGCGATGCCTTCCTCTACTCCGGTTCTGTTGACAGTCGTGTCAGACGGGTGGCTATGTGTGTGTGCGCCTTGAGGAATGCGCTCACTACTGTAAATATGATACTTTTTCCTTTAAAAACAAATGGGTACGTCTATGGCCCTAATGCTACATTAAAAACGTGGACATGGCATACAGAGGTGCTCTGCATAGCAGCACATTACTGACTGAAGGAGAGAGAAAAAAAATCTGCACTATGCAAGCAGATGGCAAGTGAAAAAAAAATCTGCTCATATATTAGTATATATAATGTACAGGTATATTACATTGTCTGTGTCTTTGAGCAGGGAGGAGGCAAGAGTGCATTCAGGACTTCTTTCATCAAGAGACTCCCCCAACGGGTCCAGATGGCCAATAATGATGGCTCCAAAAGGAAGAAAAATAATACTCCATTCCTAAAACAAAGAACAAAACATGCTTATAAAAAGTCATAAATCATGAAATACTACACTGCTCTGGTAAATACAACCATAATTCTCATTAGACATCTGAATTCTCAATTTTAAATCCAAATATTTTTTTTACTTTCACACAAGCAAGCAGGCAAACCCACTATCATATACTGAATAAAAATCTCATTAAAAGAGAGCACTCTGAAGAATGGACTAGTGATACCTGTTAGCACCCTGACTAAGAAGGGGCACTTGGAAGATTAAAACAAGATGAGCATCCATCATTTACGGGAGCCTTTCTGGACACTCACCGAGGTCAGCACGTGCCCGCCCGCTCTGGCCGCTCCCTGGTCACATGGTCCTGCTGTATTCTATGCCGCTCTTCGACGAGATCCCTGACCAGGGCAGGAAACTGCGCAGGAGGTTATGAGCCTGCCGGTAAATCCTCTGAGGAATGGTACACGGGCTCAGGTTGGCCAGAGTGGAGCCAATATGTTGGATATAGTCAGTGGGGGAAATGTCAAGGAAAAAAAAACACTTCCTGTATATCAGTCCTGGAGGGTCACATGGTTCATGCTACCTCACTGTTTAAGTTGCGGTTTTGGAGAGGAACCAGCTGCAGGTCTAATGTCACTGAAACGTACCATATAAACTAAAATGAAGCCATTATTGTAACAGTTTTTACATTTTTTAATAAAGAATATCCTTTGCTGGGACATAGCTCGTATTTTCTGATTCATGATCACGCACAGAGACAAAAACTGAGCAATTACAGTTTAAGAACGGTGAATGCCTGAGGAAAAACAGCAGCTACAAGAGAAATAAACTCACCACACTGAATAACTGAAGACCAGAAATAATGGACTGCAGGGGGCAGCATTTCTCACAGCGCGAGTGTTTTTAGTGACGGGAGAAATTACGCTTCCAAACCACCGTCCCATTGGTTACTTCATTAAGACCCACCTTGCATTTCAGCATATTATTTTCCCATTGCTAGTAAAGTGAGTGTTTAGCCTACCTATGGTAGACATAAAAAAAATAATAGGTAAAGGAAATCACAGACCAGGGGGTGCCAACCAGTCAACTGTGATTGACCGGTGGATGTTTAAGACCTTCCTAGCTGACCGGCACGCCACCCCCTTGCCCCCCAATTGGTCCCCCCAGTTGGCAAAATCTATCCAAGGTTCAGTAGCTCCCCAGATTGCTGTAAATTTGGCTATCACTGCACAAAAAAGGTTGGAGACTACTGCTTTACATAATAGGCCAACTGCAAACTAAGAAAATAATAAGTCATCCAGTGTGAGTGAAATGAAACCAAGTAAAACTCCCGCTATGACAGTTAAAAGCCCTACAAAGAAGCATGAAAGGATATAACATGGTCCAGGGAGGATGTCCACCATTAATGTAGAGAACATAAGTAAAGCCGTCTTTAAGAACCCCACGTATGGAATAGTAATAGGGCAGGTAGTGATGCTGCTTGAAATATCTGTTCTCATAAAAGTGGATGGCGGTGTTGTTCGTGGTCAGCACATGCAGGTAGATGGCCTTGCAGTGGTCCTGAGCCGTAGTGGAGATGTGCTCCTTCAAACTGTCCAGCAAAAGAGAGCCTGCAAGGGCCAGAAAGCACGTGCCGATCTCTCTGAGTCAAAGTGCTCACCCTGCGCCACCCGCGTCACTCTTCATGATAGAGGTTCTCGTGGGATACAAGGCCGGCGACATACCTATTCCATGTTTACGGAATTCCTTCACCACTCCCAGACTTAAGATGTATGCGACCTGAGTGTCGACAGGAAAGCTAGAGGCCAGGATGTCTCCATCCTGAGGGTGGAGGAGGAGGACAGGAAAAAAAACAACCTGTGATGAGGAGTGTGCGCTGCGTTCAGGAGAGAGCTCTCTCGTACTGCGAAATGATCGGAACATATGCGGTAGTGTACAAACATGTACAGAACCAGAGTCTTAGTACTTAAGATAAAAAACCACTCGTTACAGTTACATCAATAAACGGTTGTGCATGGTTAGGTATGGTAGCAGATAATCCCAAAACCTAAGACCTAGAACTAGAACCAGAAGTAAGACCAGAAAATCCCTGTTAACCAATAAAGAGCAAAGTCAGCTGGTTATCACCAACCCAACCAACAGTAATAAGGTCCCTCTTTGCTTGGGAAGAAAAAAAAAAAGTCAAGGCCACAGAGTACAGGCTAATTAATCACAGTCTAAAAACAGAACTTTATGTCAATCCAGTTGCTCCATTTAGAAGACTTTGAGGCCGAAATAGGAGAAATACGAACACAAACGACCCAAGCCAGTCATTAGGTTGTTTCTCTGAAGGGATCTTCACCTAATCGTTGGTCACACATAGCTCCAGAGGACAGGTGTTGAACACCCCATCCAAGACGATGGACCCCAAGCAGCAGCTTGGCCTGAGTGGACACCTTGCCTACCTCTTTGTGCACTTTCGTTCTGCCTTTTATTTCGGCCACAATCATTCCTACGATGCTACCTCTGAAGGTGGCAGCCAGGGAGAAGAATTTCTTGTTTGAGGTGATGTCGTGATACCATGAGTCCGGGTACCTGGAACAAAGGAGCTACCGTTGCAAACACAGACTTATTTTCTTGCATTTCATCCTTGTGTTGATTAATTTGTTAGCAAACAGGCTGTTAATAATGGGTAACATATGGCTCGTGTGTCGTGCTTAGACGCACAAAGTCTGACAGTCACTGGTGATGTTGATGTGACCTATTATACGAAGTCAAGTAAGTAGAGATAAGCAGATCAATAAGTGATCAACTCACCTGATTTGGAGGTACAATATATGGTACAGTGATGTCAAAGGGATTATGACATTGCTTTGTGAGATTTTATTCAAAGCAGAGTTAAAAACACTGCCTTGGTCACATATAGACTAGACTGCAGTAAATGAGTCAGGAGACAGAGCGGGTGTGTAAATTATTATGGCAGTGATGTTGTCTTAAAAAACTAGATATAAAAAAAAGCAATCAAACAAAAGTTATAATGCAAATCACAACAGTTACTATGAACATATTTTAAGAACTCTAAAAATGTACATAAGACCCACATAATTACACATAAATCAGGTCTCTTAAATGATATACAGTCCAGGCTGTGAGGACCGGATTCAGCTGTAGAATGGGGGGGGGGGGGCAGTACTCACTCGATGGGGAACCAATCACCACACAGCAGCTTGATGCTGTCTATGTCATCGCGGCAAAGCAGGCGGAGCTTGATCTCACTGAGCACAGAGGGCACCACGTCTGTCATTCACACCTGAACCAATCAAATAAATGAATAAATAAATAAGTAAACAAACACTTAAATAATAATGAATAATAATAATGAAGTCCTTAGGTGAGCATAAGAGTCCTACTGGCCAACGGCTGTCACTTCTAACTTGACAATCATAGAAAAAAGAGAAGCCATTATACATTATACATAACAATGCATGAAAGCTGGCCAAGAAAATAAGTGCAGTTCAATTGAAACTAATACAATTATTTACAACGTTAAAGTGAATTAAGGTGTAGTTTATTCCCCGTAACACTGTACTTTATGTATTCAAAACCAATTTCCTCCATCTTTTACCCAGCTATTTAGAAAAAAAGATGTTAAATCTTATTAACAAATCCGTCCCTTTACGAATATATAGCGACGCGTGAAAGATAAACACAATTCGCTAAACGGATGGAGACAGCATCGTGTTAACCCCATAAGTGAACACAAAGGTTATAACACAGGTTACACTGAATAATCAGGAAGCTCTTGACAAACCTGGCTGGCAATACTGTTTCCTTCACTGTTAAATCACCCCACACCTGACAGGGATTCCCTACCTCGCACCTTAATGCCTGTGCAGAACATCTCAGCAGCCGATTATACTGGCACTTACAAGGACCTGGCGGGACGCAGCAGTCAACAGAAACCAAAATGACCACAATCATCTACGTACCCCTAGCACACATCTGCAGGAATAATGGTGCACTTTTACTGCGGTGAGCCACCTGAATGAGCAAAAGGCACTTTTTACCTGCTTAACTAGAGGCTTCAGCAGAATGACAAGCAGCAGCTGCTGGGGGGACCCTCGGTACGACTCATGCATTTCATTTCCCTGTCTATAAGCCGGCAGACTAGCGAATGACCCCCAGCGTAGCACCAGGAACTACGTTAGGCATAAGATTAGCAACCTTCGGGCGCGCGGTCGTTTAAGTTCACAACATTTATTGCGCTACTTAGAAGATGCTATAACTCACATAAAGGTCGACTTGCTCTAAATAGTATACCGGGAAAATAAATAACAACTAGCAAGGTGTCTAATATCAAATGCACAGCTGCATGTAGCACTCGGCTCTGCAGCTAATGTTGGCTAGCCAAATAGTTTTGGCCACCTGCCTTGTTTCTGTGCTTAAAGCAAAAAGAATGTGAACCGTCGTTTCCCTCGTCGTTCCCAACGCTCGTTCAGTGTAGCGGCAGAACCATGGCAAAACATGAACTTTCGTTTTCTTCCTGCTTCAAGGAAAATTAACATTCAGACGAGCGCCCCAGATCGTCTCGGTCACTAGCTCCCGTGGTTTCCGTAACGACCGTCGACCGGGCAGCTCGTCGTCTTCCGTCGCCGAACCGGAAGTCAGCCTCCTTCTCATATTCCGCATGACGTCATTGCACATGGAATCTCAGTTTGTGGTGCCTGTCTGATATGGTTGTGTAAATGTGATTATACACTGCCCGTCCAAAAAGAAGGTCACTATTTGAATTTATATCAGCAAATACTTAAAAGCCAATGACTAGATCATTATTACAGTCCTGCAACGTTATGCAGCAATAGAGTAAAGTCAGCTGAGTACCTGAATCTACTGAATGGCCAGGTTACACCTCCATCCATCATCAATGGATTTTTTCTTCCCTGTTGGCATGGGCATATTCCAAGACAAGAATGCCAAGATTCAATGGGTTCAAATTGTCAGAGTGGTTCAGGGAGCACGAGGAATCATTTTCACGCGTGACTTGGTCACCACAGAGTTGTGACCTTAACCTCATTGAAGGTCTCTGGGATGTGATGAAGGAGGCTTTACGGTGTGGTTCAACTCACTCGTCAATACAGGATCTCGGTGAGAAATTAATGCAAATCGGGATGAAAATAAAGGATGAGATGTTGCATAAGCTTGTGGAAACAATGCCATGATAAATATGCGCTATAATCAAAGCTAAAGGCGCAAAAAATTCAAATGGCGACTTTTTTTTGGCCAGGCAGTGTATAACATGTAGGAACGTTTCTTTGGCAGAACAATTGCCAATAGTAGTGATCATAAGTACTTTGCTTAAAAGGTATCTAACTTGAAGTACTCCGGGCAAATGTAGCTTTTTAAAATGACAGACTAAGGGTAAAAATGTGTCGTGTTTTAAAGACATCCACATGAATAAGTCATCATAATGAAATTGAAACTAAATCTTTATTACAAGTGCCCAAGAAATTATTTTGTCGATAATGTACTTGTGTATACAGTCATTTCCTCAAATTTGTGTGCCAAAGTACTTCAGTTCTACCAATATCATCCATAAAAATAAACATCCAAATAAAAATAGTTTTCTGATAACAAATTATATTTTAAAAATGTTTAAAGTAGGAATCGTAGGATTCCCTGCACTTTAGCCAAACATATACAGGAGTTTCTTTGGTTGAACAACAACATATTACTATTTCTGGGCTTACAGTCATACCAACAAAAATAGGTTAGATATCAAGCCATTCCTCTGACTTGGCAAATGTATAAAATTCTCTGTTCAGAATGAAATCTTGAAACAATACCTGTGTCAGACATCAAACATTTGATGCATTCACTAATTTGACCATTTTACTTCAACAAGTCAGTCATGTTCCCAGTGTCATATTTTTTTACAATATGATAAAACAAATGAAACATTAAATATTTAAAACATAACGTTTCTACATCCATACATTTATTCATCTTTCACAGCTTATCAGCTTATGCTGCAAGACCCAACATATGATTTTGTTACAAAACCTCCATATTTAGTACAATGGCAATGTGAGTCAATATACATACATACATACATACATACATGCAGCTGATCTTTACAAATAGGTGTGGGGACGTGGTCAACGGATGGGGCGGTAGGGGAAGGACATCCCGGGAAGGAACTGTGGCGCTGGGTGAGATGGGTGCGTGTTGTGGGCAGGGGGGGAGGGACGAGGAGGGTATCCCAGCGGCGGCGTGTGGATGTGGGGGTAAAACCCGGGCTGAAAAGGAGAGTGAGGCGGCTGCTGGACTGGACCGGACATGACCAGCTGAAGCAGGCTGGGGAGGGACAATACAGAAAATCAAGACCTCTTCTTTACAAGGGTGTCACGTAAGGTCACCGTGGTAAGAGCTCTAAGCAGTAGGTCTGCATCTTTATTTTAATGACATCGACCTCTTTTCCGGTTGAGGGAAGAGAGCAGTCCTAGGTCTAGCTTGGTTTGGCTGGGGGGGGCGGAGGCAGCGGCATTCAAAAATCAGCATGCACCAATCACAAGATAAGTCACCCAGCCATTCTGCCAGTCATTCCCACAAGGCTGCTCATGCAATTAGGGTCACAACGATCTGGAGTCAAATCGAAATGGATCCCTGCATCCCGGATCTAAAAATACGATGCAGACGACTTACTTGTTGTGCGGTAACCTGGAACACAGAGACCTGAGGTCCTCTGTGGAGGAAAGGAACAGGCCGTCAAAAGTCTGAAGGGAAACCCAAGGAGCGCCGGCGCGCGATGGACTCCGAACCCACCTCTCGTGCACAGCAGGGCCCCAGCCGACAAGGAGACCTGCAGCACCTGAGCCAGCCGGTTGAGGGAGAGCTCGATTTCTCTGGAGGCGTTGAGGGGGTTCAGCTCCTCCACCAGCTGCACCACGTGTTCGAACTGCAGCAGCTCGAGCCGCCCGAACAGGTTCTTCTCGGTCAGGTGCACCTGGAGCATCAGGAGGATCTGCAGGACACCCAGGTGCAGCTTGGAGTAGAAGGACTCTGTGTCGGCAGTCGGCGCCGACTCCTTGGCCCGCTTGGCCAGTGGGGCCTTGACGCACCAGCGCACCAGGCCCAACAGGGGCGTCACCCCCAGCGAGCCCAGCGGCAGGCTGGCCGAAATGGGCATGTTGAGGAACGTGATGAGCGTGAGCCTGGGATCATCCACGACCCAGGTGACCACCATCTCCAGCAGGCCAGGGGAAGGGATCAAATCCTCTGTAGGAGAAACAGACCAACCGAAAGAATGAATCCTCCACGTTCATCACCACGATGTTTAAGAAGGAAACGTACGGGATGAAATAAGCAGTGAAGGGTCTTCAGCAAGATAAGCTTAAGGGCGACATTGTTCAAACGCAAGGACTTTTTAACCTGAAGGTTGTTAGTTAAGGTCTAAGACAGGGGTGGCGAACTTGATCCAGGGAGAGCCGGTGTGGGTTTTTGGGATGACCTCACCATCAGCCACTAATAAAGCAGTGGTTCTGAACTCCACTTCTGGGTACCTACTGCTATTGGTTGATTGAGACCCAAACTGCCTGTTCACCACCCCTGGACCTTCCTAGGGGTAACATGGTACACATTCACCATTAGTATCTGTAAATCGTCCACAGTGTGCGACTATGTGGCCTGCGATGGACTGACATCCCACTCTGGGTGTCCCCTGCCCTGTTCCCGTGTTTCCTGATTCGGGCCTTACTGATTGGATGGTTATGGATGGATGGATTGACCTGGTGGNATGATACACTGGAACAATGTGCTGTAACAGCGCGGTATGATGTGCAGTAACGGCACGGTATGATGTGCAGTAACGGCGCGGTATGATGTGCAGTAACGGCGCGGTATGATGTGCAGTAACGGCGCGGTATGATGTGCAGTAACAACTTGTTATAACAACACGCTATAAAGGCACACAGTAGCAACGAGCTGAGCCACAAATTGGTGCAGAACCCCAGGAAGATTCAAGCACACTGCGGCTAGGCAGCTTAATTAAGACTGCCCCACATCAAGGATCATGCAGTCCCAGTCCGATGTTCCACGTAGCGAGACCGCGACCACCAGCCCCCAGGGGGTCAATGAGGGACTGTGTCACAGCAGGATAAACGAACTGAAGCGACAACATGCATGCCTGCCGATTGGGGGCCCTGTGTGGTGCAAACCTTGTGGTGCTATTTTCAGGTTCCACGCTAAGATGCATCGGGTTCACTATCGGTGCTCTGGTGGGGATGGAGGACAGGACCACATGGCTGAAGAGAGGGCAGGGAACAGCACCTTTCAGAAGTGGGTGATTAGGGTACGGGCTTCACAGGGGAAATGTGAAAAGAAAGAAGGACAAATGAAAATGAAATCGGTGTCTTCGTAGATCCAGTCAGGTTTCTGGGGACAGAATGAACAGAACATTTTACCTGAAACCCTGTCACATGACTGGTTCTCCTTCCTGAAATGGCCACGCCCCCCATTCATGACTCCCCCGTGGTTTGTAGACATCCTGACCTTTGTGTTACACAAAACAAAAACTAACTTAGGTTTGTGAAAGGCACTATATAAATGGAACTTTTTAGATGTCAGTCATTGGGTCGTCTGGCAAAGTGAGGAAAGTGGGCGGATGAGATTAGTCTCCGCTGAGGAGCGCCCCCTCCTGGCAGGTCCTGAACCTGCCGGCACGAGCGCATATCCGTTTACCGGCTCCTTCCTGCATCCGACATACTTGTGCGGATAAGGGTGCCTTAATCCCGAGGTAAGCTGAATACCAGCACTGTCGGAAGGGGTGGGGGGGGGGGCGGTGATGTGAGGTCCCCACGGCAGCCCTTACAAAAGCCCGCTTTAGCGCGCCCCGGCGGACCACACGGCGCACCGAAACCGTGCTAAAGTTCAGGCCAAAATAACCTCCGTCACGCTGCAGGATGTGGCTTTCCAAAGCTCGCCTGTCTCATTGCACATTTTCTGAAATTCTCTACTTAGCTTTCCTGCTTTGTGAAAATGTTGAGGATGGTCGAAATGAAACACATTTCTATACATTGCTCAGTTATAAGTTATACAAAGTGAAACAGAGACTCAGCTGTGTGTGTGTGTGGGGGGGGGGGGGGGGGGGGTTGGGGCCCCCCCGGAGGAGGGGCCCGGGGGGGGGGGGGGGGGGGATACCTGAGGAGAAGTCGTAGAGCGCCGTGACGGCCGTGATGAACTGGCAGCAGAATCGCGGGCTGGCTGTGTAGATGTGCTGCAGGGTCTGCAGGGATCCAGGTACCAGGCTGCAGTAATCGTCCACCAGGACCTTAGCCAGCCGCACGCAGTAGAGCGCATGGGTCCTCTGGGGGGGGGGGGGGGGGGGGGGGGGCGACAAAAAAAGTGCCACCAGTCAGATGGCACTTATCTGACTTGCCAGCTGCTCCATCCTCACGGCCTTGTGTTAAATACAGCAACTTAAATATTTACTGGCATACTTAACCTTGTTAGGCATTAAAGGAATGAAGTGTTGACACAAGCATTACTTAGAAGCATGCATGCAGCATTCAGCTTCACAGTCCACTGTCGTCAAAGCCAGAGACAACACCCCACCCCCCCCCACCTTCACACACCTGCAGCCAGGATGCGGCACACTCCAGGATGGGCACACGACACACGGCCACCGCCATGGAAACCAGTTTGCCCAGCATGGCCATGCGGCTGTCGTCCGCCTTGTTGCCCTGGGGGCTGAACAGGGCCGAGAAGATGAGCTGGCGCACGGCGTCTTTGCTCTGCTCCTGGAAGTAGCTGCACATGATCTCCAGCAGCTGCAGCTCCTGCAGGGAGCTCATCCTCTGTGGGACAGGGGGGGGGGGTCATTTATTCTGAATGCAATTGGTGGCAGTAATTTATACTTTCACCATGTAGCATGCCCGATATATATCAATTACCCCCCCCAAACTATGAACAGTTATGGGGGCCCAGTGGGTTAGGGTGCTGAGCCTGTGATGAGAAGGCTGTTGGTTCAAATCTCTGGGTCAGCAGAGTGATGTCAATGTTGGGCCCTCGAACAAGACCTTACTCTGAACCTCTAATCGCCCTAGGGACGGTCTGACCGTGCTTTCTCAAAAACGTAAGTCACTTTGAGGTAAAATGTCTCCTAAAAAGTTATTACACTGGATGATATGTAACTAAACCTCAAGTTTAACAATTACTTTTAATTCACAGGATGATACGGGGTTCAAGTCTCACACAGGAATACAGCATAATATCTATGGGGAAACTTCTGGATTTTGGTCCAGGGGGTGCCAGGTTCCTGGAAGACAATCTCAGGTGCAAATGCTAAAAATTCCTCTGTAAACTCGAAATTAATCTCAGTTCCTAAGGAACCACAAAACAGACTCAGAAACCTGCGGTCACCGGGTCGCTTTGTCGGCGGAGGCGGGCAGGGGGGCTCACTTTGAGCTGGACTCCACGGTCCTTGGGGACGTGGAAGATGAAGTCCTCCACCAGCTCGATGGTGGCCTTGTCCACGATGGGCAGCGCCGTGCTCTGCAGCTGGCTGCTGAAGTAGATATCAAGGTGGTAGAGCACCTCCTTGGCAGCGCTCAGGGCATCCCGTCTCAGCAGGGAATGGCGAATGTCACTCATGGTGGGTCTGGGGGAAGCAAGAGAGCAACGGGAGTCAATATCACAGAAAATGGGGCAGTCTGTGAAAGTCCATTTGTAAATTAATACATAACCCTGCCCACGATATACACCTTTACCAAACGATGTTGTACAGTCACTACATAAAACTTTTAAACCCAAAATAATTGCATGAGTAAGGGACTGGTTTTATATTTAAATATCCCACGAACACTTAATCAATTTAATTACAGGAACTCTAATAACTTCGACGCGAATCTTTTACGCCTCAATTATAATCAGCAAGAGGAGAAGCGGTTACCGGTGGAGAACAGGTTAAATTCATAATATATATGCAAGGTGTTTAATATAATAAAAACAGGAAGCGGTGTGACCCTTGGGCCTTTTCAGTCTGACGGTAGGTGAGACATTTGTGACCCTCGCGCGATCCGTAAAGCCCATCATTACCCCCATGTGCTCGGGTCCCATAGAAGCCATTGTTACAAAGTGTAGTTTAGGGACCGTCGCTGTAACGCCATCGTACTTTTTGTTTCGAGTATGCGCGATATTATCCTGCAAATGCCATTTCTTAACGGAGCTGGGAGTTCTCGAAACTTACTATATCAACTTTATCCGGCGTGTGATTGGTGGATCAGTTTAGTTTTCGGCTTTTAAGACAAATGCTCAGACCACTTAATTAAACCAGATAATAAAAAAAAAACAAAATAGCTAAAAAATAAACTAAATGGTAGCTAGCCAGATATTTCCTGATTATTTTACAACGTGACGACCTACTGTCAGTGTGTCGTACCTGCATGTTCACCGGCGACCAACCAAAAACACTGCAATCACATGAATTCCACAATCTATGCTAAACAGCAATAGGGGTGACGGTACCAACACGTAAACAATCACTTAAAACGAAACCCCGTCTTCACGGATCACTTATCACCATAAAATAACATAATAAAAAATCACTGGTTGCATCATTGTTTCAGAAGTAAAACTTGCAACAAAAAAATAATCTCAAAGCGCAGCTCCGAGTTTAACTCATTCATTCATATTAACCTGTCAATTGGTTGAATCGTTGTTACTGGGAAGACTAAAATATCATTTCCAAACTCTTGAAACCAGCTAAAGTACTAACAATGACACCTCCGCTTTGGCATTCACGTACACAGAAATCCTGATCAGTGGTTTTTGAAACCGCTACATCGACATGCCATTAAGGTTTTTCCTTACCCAGTTTCTCAGTGTTATCCTAGCATATCTCTACAAGACATACAAATTAACGTTTAGCACAACAAATGAGTAAAAGATACAGGAAAACGTCCCCACGATGTGCAACGGCGGCGCGCTGCACTGCGAAGTACGGCGGCCCTTTTAGGACAAAAAATGCGCGGAAGGCCACGCAAGAGAATATGAAAGGAGGGGGGAGAACAATTCAATGATTTCGAATTTTTAAAGAATTTTTATCATGATTACGTGCGTCACGTTCTATATAAAACTAGATATTTAACAATTATATTGTTATTGATCATATAATTTTGTATCGCCTGTTTTGTATTCGTTGCAAACTTTTGTTCCTAATTCTTGGATCAATTCTGCAAATCCAGCTACTCCAGCCACTCATCCATCTTCCAACTGCTTATTCATTGCACGATATGGCGGTCCATTTTTATATATATGAAATTCACTGTTTATAATCAGAAAATAATAATCTTTATAAATTACACTTTCTGCCTCCCAGTAGATTATTGAACACGTGCATTATGCAGCAGAAAGGGGTATTAGCCTTTGTTTTGTGGCAAAAAAAACATTTGAAAGTCCAATATTTTCTGTATGCTCTTCCAAATGTGAAGCTTTGCACATGTTCATTTGACTGAACCCCCCTGCCCCCTCCCCCAACGGGTGCCCCCTGCTATCACCAAGACCCTCCCTTCATCAACATGCACATGGTGCATTTTCACACGCCATTGTTGATTTTAAAAATACCAGAACATGTGATCCTTTCATCACATACAAACAAGCTGCTCACTGGCAAACACTTCCTCGCAATCCAGGAGATCTTCCCAAAATCAGGAACAGGTAGAGACGTCTACACTTCCTAACGATTAAGAAAGAACTAGAAAAAATGTGGCAGTAACATAGATTTTTGAAAATGTTCTTTTATAGAGGAGTTTTATATCTGAATCATTATGAGGAATGTTTGTGATTTAAACAACGTACATTTCTGAAGCCTAGTGGGAGTAGGATAGAATGTGAAAAAAATGGCACTGGTTACAGTGTAATACTTATGTTTGTCTCTGATTCCTATTATTTAAGGGGCAGTTGTAATGAAAATAGAGTGAATGTATCTATAAAGCTGGCTGTAATGGTGTAATTGTGTTTTGCTTCATTGTTCAGACAGAATGAGGCTGGGTTTTTCCTTTTTGCTGATTCTACCCTGGCTACACCTGGCCACCGGATCCTTACTGATTGCTGCCTTCAACATCAAAACCTTTGGAGACAAAAAGGCATCCAACAGCACTCTGGTTGATATCATTGTGAAAGTGAGTTGATCTGGACTTTAATGTCACAATCCACAGGTGAGGGTGGTTTAAGGATGGGCATCCATCCAGCCACCATACAACTACTTATCCTGGTCAGTGTCGCAAGGCGGATAATTAAAACACCATGACAAATTTTCTTTTATGCAAATTAGATATCACCGCACTATTGCTCTCTTCCACTTCTGCTTTGTCTTTTATTTAAAGACGATGTTATTTTAATTTCAGTCGGTCTCCTGCATTTGTTCCACCCTTTGTAATACAGATTTCAAATCATGAGCTTTCCTGTACATATCTATATGAATAAGGCCTCCTACAATAATTCTGATCTGGTGACTCTCTTTTCATATGTGACAGATAGTCCACAGGTATGACGTCATACTTATTCAGGAGGTGAGAGACAGTGACTTGACAGCCACGCGTAAACTGATGGAGAGTGTTAACAGGTAGGAAACTATCAAAGCAGACGCCCCTACCATAACCATCCCGTCAGTTCACAGATAGGCTCTGCATGGTTGGTACTAAATGGACTTTCTGTTTTCGTTTTGTTGTAGTGGCATCTCACCGTTTCACTATGAATACATAGCCAGTGAGCCACTTGGCAGAGACACCTACAAGGAACGATACCTTTTCATATACAGGTAAACCTTTCTGGTCAAATAAACATTCCCGTGAATTAAATGTGGTAAGTTCATACCTTATGACAGTTTAAATTTACACAAGGCCTTCTTGATTGTCAAATATGTACAATTTACACAGTTCATTGAAACTGATAATTCCTTTCCCAACAATAAAACCTTTGTGTGCATTTTCTTTTGGTAGAGATGACATGGTCTCCGTCGTCGAGAGCTTCCTGTACGACGGCGGCTGTGAAGCTTGCGGCACAGACACGTTTAGCCGCGAGCCCTTTGTCGTCATGTTTTCATCCAAACGTTCTGGTGGGCGATGCACAAAACCACTTTAACAGTTTACATTTCGGAATTCTTAGCAAAATTTACCAGCAATTCTTAAGATCAATCACTAACACTCATATTAAATTAAGATATTAAAACAACCAAATAAAACTCAAGACAAAGCCTGAAACTTTAAGGCTCTGTGGGGCAATTTTATAGGATACCCAACCACACACAGGCATTTTCACATGTAATTCTGATGATTATCTTAATTCAGGAGCCAAAAAAACAGGCTTTAACCCTTTGATCACACGGTCACTTCTTTACCCACAATCCCCATGGGCACATCATGGATTGTGCACAGCCCTTACCCACAGTTAACCATCAGCGACTGCCTATATGACTTTCTAGGTGTGCCGGACTTCGCACTCATCCCCCAGCACACCTCCCCAGATTCCGCCGTGAAGGAAATCGACGCCCTTTACGACGTCGTTGACGAGACGAGGAGCTTCTTGGGCACAGATGTGGGTCAGAAGTCACGCCCAAGGGATTATGACGAAAGTTTTTGGTTTATGGCAGCACAAAGAAATGAAAATTTGCGATCCAAATATTGAACTGCTTATGAAAATTGGAATTTTTAAATGAATCTCAGTGAATATTCAGTTCTCACTTTGAATTGGATGTTCTACTGATTTGGGTGCTGCCAGTGCTCTTTATTAAGATACATTTATCACTATATAGCGACAAGGTTCTGAGGTATTACGCTATAACTTCTGTAACCATTCTTGCAAATAGTACACTGCATAAAAACATGCTAGCAATGCCTTGTTTTTTTCTAGAATATACTGCTTTTAGGAGACTTCAATGCTGGTTGTAACTACGTCCTTGAATCGGACTGGGAGCAGATCCGACTTCACACAGACCGAAGCTATCATTGGCTGATCCCCAACAGTGCAGACACCACGGTGACGAACACAGAGTGCCCATATGACCGGTGAGCGGCCAGAGAGACGTACTGGTACCACGACACTGTCCAACACGCCAGCTTTCAACCTAATTGGTCCTCATTTCTTTTTAAATGTGAATCAGAATTGTCGCCACGGCAACAATGATGCAGTACGTGGTTCCGGGGTCTGCGGCCATTTATGACTTCATGACGGCACTGAAACTGAGCCAAAGCCTGGTAAGCAAGCTCACACTGCAATCAGAACAAGGGCTGATGGGTCGAACCAGAACCCTGCTGGGTGAACAAAATAAAAGAACCATCCAGAAGAACCTTAAAGTGCTGCTGAAATTCAGAGCATGCATCCGAGATGCTGAACTTCTGCTTCCTCTCACCGTATCTCCTTCTTCTAGGCTCTGGCTGTCAGTGACCACTTTCCCGTCGAAGTGCAGCTCAAGGGAGCTTGAGGAATTCCATGAACCTCAACCCCAGAAGTGATCGAATTAAAGAATGAAGCCAAGGAAATCCAAAGCCTGTGTGCTTCAAGGCGTGACAATAAGAGAACCTAACACTGCCTCCTTTAAATAAAAGACAAAGCAAAAGTAGAAGAGAACGAGTTTATTCAGCTTTTCCTCCTTGGCTTTCAAAGATGTGTATTGTTTACTATTGATTTTATGTTTAATTTCTATGTCTACAAAAAGCAAAACCTGTAATTGTAGGCTTATAATTAGTCTGTTAGAAGAGTATTCAGACACTACCTTAATACTAACGATTAAGTATAGCGATAAAAGTACTCCTTAGATCCCTTATCATTGGTGTGTGTGAGTCACAGGGTATCGCTGTCAAATTCGGGGTCGGGGAGGACCCCCACCTATGCCTTTTTCTTTCGGAGGTTCTCCAAATACAGCTTGAGGGACTTCTGGATGGAGTCCTTGGTGATGAAGCTCACAAAGTTGCTGATATCCGTCTCCCTGGCGGACAGCAGCTTATCGATGGTGGGCTTCCTCATCGCGGACTTGGTGATTTGCCGGGCGTGATCTGAGGGCGAGAGGGGGGCGGGGGCCGACATGCGTGAGGACAGCTGGCTCGGGCACGCGCCGAAATCGCGGAGCGTGCACAGCATCACACTGCATTACACCCGTCATTCATAGTAAACCTGGAGGGAAATTCACGGGCATGCTGAGGTGTGAGGAGACTGTTACACACCCACACACAAAGGTTTGTAATTATATCTTTGTGGGGACTCTCCATTCACTTCTATGGGGGAAACTCTAATCGCAATATGATGACCTTAACCCCTACCCAGCCCTAACCTTAACCATAAGTAACCAAACAAAATATGTGACTTTTGGCATGTTTTGTTTTTTGACTGCATGCACAGATCTTTGTGGTGACCTGAAAAATGATCCCCATAATGTTAAAATAACTGGTTTATATCACATTGTGGGGGACATCTGGTCCCCACAATCTAATATAAACTTAATCCACACACACACACACACACACACACACACACACCGTGTGACCTCTACAGACACAGAGCTGGACTGTTATCATTGGAAAGCTTTGGACATTAAACTAAGTCATGTCTCATTTTGGTGTGACAGCTGCATCATGGGTATTAACCCATCAGCCCACATCACTAAAAGACTGCCCTACATTATTTTTTTAAAGTTACATTTCTGACTTTAAAGTTCCCCTGATCACATCACATCACATGACTCTAGACCCTCTTCCAGCACATCCGTGCCTCTATGTGGCCTGAATCTCCCCACGAAGCACATGGTACGAATTTGGGGGCAGCTCATTGGTTGCTGGCGTATCACATGACAGCCGCGTCTCTGACCTGGGATGGCGAACCACCTTGCCATGGCCTCTGTGGCCGTGCTCACGAGCTTCTCCTCGGGCACCAGCTCGTCCACCATGCCGATCTTCAGGGCGTCCTGGGGGGAGTAGAGCAGCCCCAGCTGTAGGGCTATCTCTGCTGTCCTGTGGCCCACTGTGTTCACCATGGTGTCCTTAAACCTGGAGCGACACAAATCTCTGGTGCTCATGTGGAAGCTTAACACCACAGTACCCTTGGACTGTGTGAATCCCACCTCATAAGTCGCATCTGCACTGTATTTTACTTACGTTGCAGATCCTTTTATCCAAAAGGTATATTTTTTTTGAGAAAGCAGGATCAGCCAGTCACTGGAGCGATCGGGGCCCTTTTGCTCAAGGGCCCAACAGGTGAATTTTCCCTGCGATCATGGAATCTGAACCAGCGACTTTCCGATCTCACACACATCGTCATAATCTGCTGAACTACACACCTCCCCCAAACCATTCCCTTCCATAACGACCGCCGTCACTCACCAGAAAGGTGCCACGATGCCCAGCTGGGTCTCATTCAGTCCGATGCTGTAGCGTGGGTTGTCGGCCATGATCCTGTAGTCACACGTCATGGACAAAAGGCAGCCCCCTGCTGGGCTGGAACCCTGATAGGTCAAAAGGGTAAAACGGGGAGGGGCAGGAGGAAATCATACCTCCTCTGATGACTCCTGTTATGCTCTCATACACTAACAGTCTGCTGGCAACTATTCCAGGTATTTAAAATGGGTTTGATCTGTAAATTACTTCTAAAAACCCACAAATAAGTCAAAGTTCTTGTCAGAACTTACTGTGATTCTCAACTGAATTTACACAGTGCATTTCCACTGAATGTAGTTTAAATTATTTAAGGTTTAGCATCTCGCTCACAGGACGCAACCAAGCAACCCTCTGGCGCCAGGTTCCATTCTTCCACAAAAACAGCATGAGAGAGCTCCACATCCTGGGCACTGGCTCGTACATTAATGGCAGCGACGGTGACCAGCCTGGAGCTGTAGAACTTCAGCCACATCTCTTGCACGGCTCTCCAGAACTCGCCACAGCGCTCCGGGCTTTTTCCATACATCTCCAAGATGTCCAAGCCCGCAGAGAAGATCTTCGGCAACGCCTGCAGCACAACAACCAAACACGGCGCCCATACATCTTGAGCCTTCTCCATTTGGGACATGAACGACGAGTACAAACCAGACAGAACATCACGCTTAACACTATGTAAATTAAAGACTTTGTTAAACAGAAAACACACACCAAGGCTGACACAAAGACCATAGATGGAGGCATGTTTCATATGCCTAAATCAATTGTTTTACTGATGAAAAATAGCAACAATAATCATTCTTAGAATCATTTAGAACATACTTTCATAGAAAACTACTCAGTGCATATTTGTGAATTTTACCTGTACAGTGGAACCTCGGATTACGAGTAACGCGGTTTACAAGTGTTTCGCAAGACGAGCAAAGATTTTTAATGAATTGTGACTTGGAAACCTGGTTTACGAGCGCCAAGTATCATCAAAAATCATGGCACACATGCGCTCCTTGTTTTTCTTGTTTTTACATGCGCTCGGCTTCAAAACAGGAAGCACATGCGTGCGCTTCTTGTTTTGACACTGAGCACACGTCATCACAACTGAACCAATGGTTATTCACTTTCTCATGCTGCGGATTTGTGGGTAATCGTCTCCCATGCTTTGTCTCAGTCGGCATGCCTCACTTGTATATTCAACATTTAGTAGAAAAGCACCACCTGAATAAGGGTGTAGCAGTGCGAGCAATGAATCTGTTTAACGACAATGAAATGTCCACATTTTTGCGATATCGAAAAGGAGGCAAAAGAGGCTGTCATTGGATAGGTTCCTTGTTAAAGTCGCACAAACAGAAAAAGATTCCAGTGAGCCAACCGATAGCAGTGATTCCGTTAATTATAGTGAAAGTCGTCCTACAAAATAACCCTCCTCTTCTCCTCTCTCGTCTCCCTCACACCATCCACGATTCTTTTCAAAGGTAAAGTGCAGGTTAATTTGTTTTATGTATTTTTACTTTATATTTTGTATTAATAATTTTTATATGAATATTTTTGAGTTGTAGAACAGATCATATGAGTTTCCATTATTTCTAATGGGAAAATTTGCTTTGATATACGAGTGCTTTGGATTACAAGCATGTTTCCGGAACGAATTATGCTCGTAAACCAAGGTACCACTGAATATGTGTACATATTTAACTTAAGTAGTTCTTTTAGAAGGTTCTTTTAGGTCAATTGCTGGGAGAGCTTAAACTGCTATGCCACCTGCTGGTGATTAAGAGGTACTGCTGATTAAATCAGCTAACTTACAGAGGTCACAACAACGCCCCGGCAACCCTTGTTCATTTCAAGTTTCTCCAGGCTGATGGCGATCTCCGTGAGGAAGTCCAGGCTGAGGCTGTTAACCGGGGGGCTATGGAGCTTCATCACCGCAATACCTACCCCAACAAAATCGAACGAAAAACACTCAAGATATGGAGGTGCTGAGAGTGTGTGTGACATAAATGCACATGAGTGGGTCTTAGCACAGACATGAATATAGACTGTTCTTAAACAAGATGGAACAAATTAACCCAACCCTGCAGATAGTAAAGATAATCCTTAAGTATTTCAGTTTTTTAATTAGCTTACATGTGGAGCCATTAGCGTGCCAAGTCCCACTACTTGAAGACCTGCATAACATAAAAAGTTTTCCTACCCCAAAAACATGCAATTGTATTTGGTTACCATTATAAGGTTCGGGGTTGCTTACCTGTGCTGCTGTCCAAGTCCACTGTCATTGTGGATGCCGACGAGAAGTTCCTCTGAGCTACCACCGTGCATGGCCGAGCAAAATGACCTCTCCTACCGCGGCTGTGCCCGGCGAAGGACAACAACCTTGCTGGGGAAAGTTTACAAAGTGTGCGAAGGTTATTAGGTATTTCAGCCCGTACAGCCTCGAATTTACCCCACGCTGTGTAGGACAGGTTCATAGTTTGATTTAAAGCACTTACTCATCCCGCGTTGTTTACAAGTAATATTTTTGCGGGGAAAAAAAATAAAACTTAAAATAAGTAGGGACACTAGGAGGAGGGTGGATACTCTGGGAAGGGTTCTTCGATTCTCAAATTAAATTTGGGTTTGTTCACCAAATTGTCTACAAATGCTCTTAATTAATAAATCTGCCGCGCAGGGCGCTGCGCCATTGATGCGCAAAACGAAAATCACACCATCTGATTACCTTTAACCTCATTCTTGAAAAGGGCACCAGTTTAGCCTGGCATATTTAGTAAACTTGAATTCAAGAAAAAATACGGGGCAAAATGCACAGAGCACATGCTGCAAGCGTGTCTGTGCAAACCACCGAGATGTTAATGTCCAAGGAGCAATACATTCAAGCATACCAGAAACGCTGCACTTCGCTAACCGCCTCAACGCAGTTGCCATTTCTTCTCAATTCCTGCAGCAACAAGGGGGCGTGTTCGGCAATACTTTTCTCAGATCTGATTGGAAGTAGCTTTCTCAGGAGTGATGACGTTGTTAATGTGGGCGTGGTACGAGCGCTTAGATACGGACCACCAAATGGTCCAAAATACCTGTATGTACTGTGAGTTATACATTAACGCGAAATGTATATGGGTAATTCTTATTTTAAATATTTTGGGGTGATGCACTGAATTAATTCATTGAGTCATGAATATTGTGAATATTGTATTTCAACTCCAAGCTTCTCCTCCCTAGCGTGTTTAATAAGTTTTACAGGGTTAGCATCGGGGTGGGCAGTAATGAAGTATAAATTAGAAATTAATTTCACGAGTATAAGTACTTTATCTGAGCATCAAATTGTTTGTAAACTTATGACTTTTACAAAAATATTGCACTTTTGATTCCACTACATTTCAATGAAGGTTCTTAATTGTTACTCATTATGTTAAAATACAGCTTTGAAGTCAGCGGACGAATTTTATTTTCTAAAACGCGATAGGCTATAACGTGTTCATCACTGGAAAAAAAAATCAGTCACAGTAAACTGATGAAGACTGCTATTACGGGAGATAAAGATGATAAGGATTCCTTAGCAGAGCACCCATGGCCCATGTTTTAGATTTTTGAAATGAAGAAATATGTGTTTCGTTTTAAATGTCTGCTCTATCTAGCTACCCCGCGAAAACTTCAAGGCCTATAAAAATCCGCCCTCCAACCTGACAAAGCATGTCGATTTACATAATATTTTAAACCAAGATGTCTGTGCTATAGTGATTGCAGTGTTTACGCTATGGCTGGTCAAACGACCTTATGGTTTTGCCCGCTAAGTCGCAATATTAATTGGAACCGATGTTGCCTCAACTGTTTGTCAAGCTAACTGGTTCCTGTACGCGTTCTTTGAATCGTTATCAGGTTCTGCAAATGCCCTGTGGCAACAATACAACAGTGCGTTAGCATTAAAGAAAGAAAATGTACTTTAGAATACCTAAGTTTTTTAATAGCGAGTGCTCCAGTATTTGAACTAAATTTGACTGAATAACTTTAACTTGTACGGGAGTAATATATTTGACTCTAGTAATGAAGTTGTATACTTTGTCCACCTATGGTTAACATAAGTTAAGATTTTCAGCTGTTGTATAATTTTACTGAATGAGAAAGGGGGCATTTTTGAATGTTCATACCTGTACTCAGAATGTTAGTTACTGAAATACTCAGGAGCGACACGCGCGCAAGATATCTTACTGCGAATCTATATTATTCCATTATATAAACCTAAAATTAGCAACATTAAAAGCGATGGGATAGTTTGCAAACCCTGCAGACTACAAGGTGATAAAAGTGTTTCATACACGTAAATGCGTGTGTATGTGTGTGCAGATTAGTCTCGAATCGAACATCTCACGCCAGCCAGCTGACTAAAATTGGCAACCCTGAGTAATGGCATTACTGTTTTGTAGTCTTTTTGCCTCCTTGTGCCTCGAACCAGACACTTAACAGCATATTCCAAAATGCTACATGATAATGATTCACCATGTAGCGTGACAAGGACGTGTGCTGGTAACACGCAGGTCCAAGCACCAGAAGTTGTATACCGCTATACACATAACAAATCAATACCTAAGTGCATATCCGCTTCCATTTTATAGACTACAAAGGGCAGTTGTGCGTTTTAAGGAACTGCAGCCATTTCCTTTGCAATAAAATAGCACCAGAAAATATATTACCCAAAATTAAGCGGATCTTAGCTTAAGGTCAATATTTGTGAAAACATTTGAAATGGTGAAACCAAAGAATAGCTGGTTGCAGGATGGGCTTTAAGGTAACATGTTGCACAGTAGTTAAGTGCATGAACTTGGGTCCCCGTGGCTGCTGATCCCGGTCCCTGCTGTTATCTTTGAGCAAGGTGGCTAAAATACGCAGCTGTTCAGTATTCCGGGTTACAATGTTGGCTGTGGGTACAAAATTAGAAGCAGAGTTTCAAACATAGGAAGGCTTATTTAATCTGAGCTTTATTAAAAGGTACAAGACGCTTGAAAAAGTTTTGACACTAAAACTCGAAGTTACAGCAATCGGTCATCATGGACGTGTGAACTGCGTCAAAGAAAAAGCAATTTATCATTAAAGTCGAAAGGCCGGAAATTGCCGCAGTGGCCAGACCCTTACACTTTCCTCTCGTTATTTTAATCCATTTGGCAAACACAGTACAAAAAAAACTGGAGAAGACCTATGCATGCAGCACGCACCAAGACATCACAGATACTCGAATTCAATGGTTCAGCGGAAGGGAGTGTAGATGTATATATACACCACCAACACTAAGCCTTTTAAAATGTACAAACACTGTCCAAGGTTCGACTTTTGCCTCCTTTTGTGGTTTCTGAGTGACGATGAAATATAGCGGTACATCTAAACTCCACAGTAATCTGAATCAGACAGTTGAACTACCACCGTTTTAGTTACACAAGGAAAAACAAAAAAATCTTAGGACATCCTATGAACCTTTGCTTCGCTATTTTCTCCTTACATCCGAAGAGAAAAAGAAAATATTATGTAGCCCACTGAGGTCACCAGAAAGGTTTGAGATCTTATCTGCGAGACATCCAGTATTACATGCATTCTGTACATTTCTTAAACGCATTCTTTTAATTTTTACGCAGACATCATTAAGCATTCTGACTACATCTTCATTTTGGTCAATTAACAGGAAACACTCAGTATGACACATGATCAAGAACGGCAAGTTTAAAAATGTTTTCAAGTTAAAGCGTCTAACAACAGACACAGGGGAAATAAAACAATAGGACTGAAATGCAGAACGGTCATGTAGACATGCCAAGACAATGTGGGTTGGTTGTGGTGTATTTTATTTTATTTTTTTCCCTCATCACTTCTTTTTCGGCTCTTTAGAATCACACTTACGTTTCTGAAATCAGTAATCCATCACTCAAATTAAGGGTCGAATGTCACTGTCGCAAAGGACGTGGGGTATGGTAATGAAAGCTGTAAGAACAGAGCGATCAGACAAAGAACGTACCACGGACACCTCCGGACACCCCAGGCTGTATTATCTGTAGCAGGGATACTCGGCCTACAGGTAACCAGTTTGCCGGCCCTGGGGGCGGGTCCCAAATCTCTAGGCGTAGTAGGAATGCAGTCCGTTTACATTCAAGCACGGCAAGAAGACGACGCCACGGTCCCAAACGGCAGCGAAAACAGTAAAGCGCAGGAACAGGATCGCAACAGTAATGTGGGAGCTTCAGGACACAAAGCGACCAGAGGTGACGGGGGCAAGGAATTCAATTAATGGAATTAATTTCGATCCCCTTTCCAACACACTTAGACCCAGTTAACCATTTTTTCAAATTTCTTTTTTTAATCATCATTATTTTTCTACACAAGCCGCGATCTGCTTCCCCCCCCCCCCCCCAAAGCAGCCTGATTTCCTGTTTGTACAGCTTTCACAAACACACCGCTGTCGCAGGTGGATTGGATGGGATGGGGGGGCGGGCATCCTCCACCCTACTCCTTGGAGTCCCAGTCCTTCTTGATCTGCAGGTTCCACTCCCAGGACAGATGGTCGGTCTTGTCGTCGTCCGTGAAGAAAGACTTGATGTGGTAACTCCCACGTACCAGCATGCCTTTGGGCGCCTCCTCCACCGGGGTCATGAACTCATGCTCCTCTGCCCGCGGCCCGTAGCTGCCCACCATGTACACGGCCTTGTCCACTATGGGAGAGAACAGCTGTGATTCCTGCCCCCCCCTTCCCTGGGTCTGGCTCCCCTGGTTTATGCCCCTAGCGTGTGAAAGTGTTGCCCTGTGATGGGCCAGCATCAGTTCCTAGGTATGATATCAGTTTTACACCAATCTACAGATCCTTCCTTACCTCTCAGGCCCTTTCTGTACATCAGGTGCACGTACTTCATTCCTGACACGATGTCCCTGTTCACCTGTTTCGAACCAGACAAAAGGGGGTTAATAGCGAGCACGGCTGGTTTTTCCCCTATTAATGCCGCGTATTTCTGCCAAATCCAACAGCCAGAGCGCCGCGATAAAGGACAATGCAGCTGTCTGCCACCAGGGGGCCTCGCAGCAGCAGGAAAAGGGACACTTGCTTATTCCAGACACATACAGTGGCTGAAACGTTTGGGGAAAAAACACCATCGCAGGGCTGTGAAGCATATACTCAAGCATCCCATCCATGTCTCTCTCCCCCCCATGTTTTTGATTGCTCCCACCAAAACACTGATTTCTGAATCGAGTCCATTCGTTTTTTTTCCCCCTTTTGTTAGTTTTCCTGCAAAAATTACCGCCAGATCCCACGAATGCCAGAGCCATCTTCTCTGGGAAAGACACTGGAGAATCAATTTCCTGTATATCCTGAATGTCTATCCCCCTGCGGGCGTGACACTGCTGGTTGGGTCACAGTTTTCGATGTGTGTAGCCGCCTTAGGGAGAACGTTCCCAAATCGCTAACATAAACGCGGAGTGTTTCCGTCTCGCCCTTTCTTCTCGGAAGGTTATTTTTAGAGAGATCTGCGGTGGCTTGGGAAAGCGGCTCCGTGTTTAGATGTACGCTTTAATATTGGTGACCTTCGGGAAGCGGTCATGCAGATCCATTTATTTGCATCGACGCCTACGCCATTTGAGAGGAAATGCTGCCCAAAGGCCACCCCACCAAGTGACATACAGCCGTGGGGTGATTTAGATATATGGGCTGTTTGTGTCCATGGGTTTGTGTGACAAAATGAGCCAGCTGGAGTGGGGGGGAGGGGAGTCTTCAAACGCTGAGCACTGTCCTGTGCCGGCCACACGGAGATGACGAAAACATCTCGAGTCGCCCTGGATGCATTTCGTCCTACCTTCGCTGTAATAATTTCCCAAAAATGACTGAGCTTTTATCCGCAGAGGCAGGCAGCAGAAGCAGAATGCTATAGCGTCAACTCTCCTGGAAAACCGGCAGGATTGGGGATGTTTGTTACAGGCCATGTGGATGCTTTCACACTGCAGTTCCGGAACCTGGTTCCGAATTCTTGCACGTTCTTGACCTGGAACTCTTGTAGCTCCTGGACACTTTCGTGTGTCGCTTTCCCATCAGGAACTCTGACCTTTATGCTAAATAAGCAAGGGACACGAATAAAGCTCGAAGGATAAACTTAACACGTAGTTTTGTACGAAACAACACCGCCTACCAAAACAAAAAGGAGGATGACCTAGCTGTTTTAATTATTGGACAGATCAATCACATTGTCTGAAAAATGTATTTGATTTATATGACCCACTGCATGTTTATAATTCATTATTCAATCTGTCCAGCTGATCGATCTTTTGTTTTCCACAGAATTTTAAAAAATTATGTAACGTTATCCCGCTAATAAGCACTGGCAAGTTTCACTGCTGGCACTGGCGTTAATAGACAAAAGTTTATTGGTTACTGATTGAATCTTCCAGTGCAGAAACATGGAGAAGCTAACAAAAATGTATTTATTAATGCAATTGGGATACAGAAATAATTCCATCTGCTCAATTTTTGCTCCACAACCTCTATCTATTTTCCATGCAATTTCCAAGCTAGCAAAGGTGCTTGTGGTTAACCTGGTTAACCAATCAGCAAGCTATCTCTATAAGCCCCTCCCTAGTAGTTTGTGTTTGAACGAAAATTACCTAGCCTGGAGCAGGGACTAAAAAGGGTTCTGGAACTGCGTCTGAGGGACTGCAGTGTGAACACGACAAAAGTTCCTGGCTCTGGAAAATGATTCTGGTTCTTGAAAAAGTCTCTGTGGTGTGAAAGCTCCGGGTGATGTTTGGAAATGACCCAATGGAATCCCTCCCCTGTGACCCTCAGTCCTGGCCTATAACACTGTCACTGTAGGCTCATAAGCCTTGGTATTTACTGGAGTATATGTCATGTATATACCAAAGAACTACTTCAGCCTGTCTAAATGTTCCCTGGACCTGAGAGATGGGGGCAGGCAGATCATCACTGCTTGTGCCCCAGAGTAGTGTGATGTTTTTGGCACGGCCCGCGCAGCACACACAATCACTCAGCTCCCGCCAGATCGCCCTCCTCCTTCAGCTACGCTCCATTAATTTCCTGTCCTTTTATTTTTCCACAGGATTTCTTTGCTGCCTGTTTCTTGAGGTCAGGGAACGACTTTTGAGTTCACCCTCTGCTGCCTCCCCCTCCAACTCCCTGTGGGTTTCCCCCTCCCTCAAAGAGTACTGAGGACTGATACACAAGCCCTATGTATATAGAACACCATCAGGCAGGAGGGACAGTTTAACACCTATTCTGCCAGTGGCTCAGCCTCTCTGGGTGTATTGATCTTCAGCTCACCTTGAAATGGATCTTGACCCGGTAGTCCACGCCCTCCTTCAGGATGAAATTTTGCTTCTTCAGGGCCTCAAGGTCACCTAGAGGACACATGAATGGCATCTCAAAAAACTGGAAGCTCTCCCTAAATTTATAACCATCTCACTCCGCTGCAATCTTTGGCGGAATCCTGTTGCGCTATTGATTTCTGTACTAAAGAAATCCATCCCGGATCAATTCACTTTCTAAGTATTACAGCGTAGCTCGTTTCGTTTAGCGCCTCCTGTGACTCGTTACGAGAATGTTGTCGTCAGGGGAGGAAGCGAAGAAAACCAACGGTTATGCACAGAACCCCCTCCCCCCCTCATTCTGAACGGTCTGTGTTCAAGGAGGCAGACTGATATCGAAACTGCACACGATTGCAGTCGTACGGCCCCTCGGCTCAGAAGAGGAAGCTGATAAGGCCGCAAGATAATGGCCCTGCTGTGGCACACAGAGATCCTTTTACGCGCCACAGCCCCCGGGGCTGATGGGAAAACAGAAGCTTGGGGTCCTAGCAGGATCACAGTCAGGGTGTGGTTAGATGCAGCTCATCCATCGGGTCCGATCCTGCATTTCAACCCTGGGATGTTTTATTTAGTTGTTCTCTGTGGTCACGGCCGTTGTCACTCCTGCATTCCGCCCTCTGTCACCCTTGAGCTTCTTTAACACTGACATTTAAAGCTGAGTGATATTACCCAATATTGAAGTTCCCACTCAGAGTGCTGGGTCCGTGTCCTGCTGACACCAGTGCCGGGCCATGTTCCGCGGCAGACCGTGATATAAACGACCGTAAAAACCAGAGAGCCTCCTGCGATCTCGCCCCGGGACTCAGCAGTCTTGCACGCCGCTCGTTTGAACTTTTGCTTCAAACAAACGCCGATTTTCACGTTCAGCACTTAAATCCTCCCGGCCCCAGATAGCGTCTCTGGGGAGGGGCTTCTGGGCTGAATAACCATTCAACAGGAATGTGTAGGGGGGGGGGGTGTTACTTCAAAGAGAAATATGAGCTCATCAGCTATTTGCATAAGTAACAGAATGGTAATGTACTTCCACGGGGGGAGGATGGATGGATGCAAGAAAATGGGTTGGTGTCCTTGTTGTGCGCACAGATACACACACACAGACACACGCGCACTGACACACACACAGACATGCACTGACACAGACACACATGCACATACCGACACACGCACCAACACACATTGACAGGCACGCAGACACACACACATGCACTGACACACGCACATACTTTCTGATAACTGACTTCACACCGGATCTCATTTTAATGCACAGAATGGTGCCTAGAAACATTTCAGCAAAAAAATGAAATGTGGATAAAAATGAGACATTTGTGTGATTTTAGGTCCTCAACGTAACAGATGCAGCTGCATAAACAGTTGTATTTGTTGGGTGGGGGTCACACCTCCACAAATTGTACTACATTTTGTGCCCGTTAAGGGACGAGCTTACTCACAGACACACAGGCACGCACGCACATGTAGGGTGAATATATCCTTATGGGGACCGCTCATTCATTTCAATGGAAAAATGCTAACGCCAACTATGACAACCTTAATTTTTGTTAAGCAAATGCAAGTATTTGCATTTTTAGTTTTTTCATAGCAGTCACCGATTTTTATAAAATAGAGTTTTCCTTTATGGGGACCAGGAAACCGGTCCCCATAAGGGAAAAAAAACGTTATGAGGACATTGTGTCCGAATAAGGATAGGTATACCCGCTCGCACACACACACACACACACACAGAGTCTGCAGTCAGGAACCCGGCCCAGCTCGCCAGAACCTGGCATCAGCGTTCAGCAGGAGCAAACCCCCTGAGCCGCATTTCCTGTCACCTCACGACCGCCAGCTCCACACTCAGGCTGCTCTTGGGGACGTCCGGGGCTCACACTGGCCGCTTCCACCGTGACAATACGCCACTTTTTTGTCCTGCCACTCCCTGAAGCACTCCCGTCACACCGACGGCTCGCTAAGGGGTCAAAGGTCAGCCGTCTCACGTCTTTCACTCCGGATCCAAGTCACTCAGCCTGACAGAGTTTTGGGGAGAGACTTCAACTAAGGAGGCATCTGTGATCTGTGGCCCAATGCACCTTGCGGCTGGAATCAGGGTCAGCCGATGGTTTTGTTTACGGTGTGACGTGGTGGGGGGGACCTTCTCCGTGAGGCAACCCGACTGACAGGTCTATCGGGAACACGGGCATGAGCAGCTGGGAGGGAGACGGCACCGGCTTGATGACCGAACTCCTGTGTCACTTCCTGCTAGGTCGCGACAGATGACCCAGAGCGGAACAGAAACTGCGGTGCGTCAAAGTCAAAGTCCACCTTCATGCAGGTTCTGCAAATATGGAAACTTTGTCCGACGTACACTGACCATCCAGATGGATCGCCGGGAACGCCAGGCAGGCCTGTGCTCCATCTGCGCTACCACTGCTTCATCTGTGCTCCCACTGCTCCATCTGCGCTCCCACTGCTCCATCTGCGCTCCCACTGCTTCATGTGTGCTCCCACGGCTTCATCTGCGCTCCCACTGCTTCATCTGTGCTCCCACTGCTCCATCTGCGCTCCCACTGCTCCATCTGCGCTCCCACTGCTTCATGTGTGCTCCCACTGCTCCATCTGCGCTACCACTGCTTCATCTGTGCTCCCACTGCTCCATCTGCACTCTCACTGCTCCATCTGTGCTCCCACTGCTTCATCTGCACTCCCGGGCAGTGAGAAGATCATCATCATGCCAGCCCACCGATGCCCCTAATGACGGCACGCCTCGACCACGGAGGGTGCCCACTTATTCCCACCTGAAGAGTCACTTATCCCCCAATCAGAGGGACTGACATGAGCCCCTGGTCAAGCCTGTGCACCACTCAGATGGATCGCTGTGGGCAGGGACAGACAGGGACACCGAGAGCAGAGCAAGAAGCCAGCATGGTCACACAACCCCCAAGTGTCCCCACGCGCCTTAGAGAGTGTCCCCAAGCACCTCAGAGTGTCCCCACCCCATCCCATGCTTCGCACCTTAGTCTAGCACCGAGGGCTTGTTTCACCCACAATTAAGGTCCAAAAAACAAACCCATTCCAGCTCCCAGCAGCACTGGGGCCACAGGTATGAAAAGGATACGTGACATCTCCCAGCGGCAATCCCCTTCCGCTCCCCCCGCCCCCCGATTCCCCCATGATCTTATGCATGTTTTGCCTTCTCTCGCCCAGTTTGAGAAATCCAGCTGCCACAAGTGGGGGGGGGGGGGAGTGTAGTGGGATGTAGGCGGATGAGTGGAACAGAAACAGGACCAGAGTTTCCTGTTCAGATCGGCAGCTGAAACCGCATCGTGCCCCAAAAGCTGAAAGCCCCGCCCACTGCCACAGGGGCAGTCGGATTAACAGCCGTACCGAGCCCAGCCCAGCAGCTGCGAGTCCAACTGGCTAAAAATCGTCAACAGAGGGACGGACAAAGCCAGAGTGACCATGACGCACTATGTGCCCTTGCCGGTTATTTGTCTTACGATGATGTCACCCCTTTGCAGGGCCAGCGCTCGGTCTCCACGGGAATGACATCACCCACAGCGCCGATAGCGGCGGGGCTCATTAGAATGCCACAGAGGCCCAGGGGTCGCGTCCACTGTGCAAACACTGCAGTCTCAGCACCGGGGGGTGGGGGGGGGAGGATGGCGGGAGAATAGAAAGTATAAGCCATTCTGTATTTACCACAAACCCAACTCAGGAGTCGTCAGGCCATGCCCACCAGTGCCTGGGCCACCCCAAGCCACAACCCCCGCCTACATGTTACCCCGGCCCTCGTAGTGAATAAGGGGTGTGTTCTACAGTTTCCGTGGCAACGGCATACCTGTGAGGTCCATGGTGATCGGTCCGGGGGCCTCCTCACACATCAGCGTCAGCCGCGTCACCTGCACGTTGGGCACGCCGGGGTCTGCAAGGGAACACGGGAACGTTCAGCGTTCTCCGCACGCCAACACATCCCGACACCAGCCGTCTTTGGGGGAGAACGGGCGTGATATTGGCGAGACGTAAGGAAAGCAGAAGCTGCCCCCACCAGTCAGCTCCCCCAAATGGGTCGCAGTTAGCAGTAACCCCCGCCCCCCATACCCGCACGCCCCAGCAAACAGCGAAAGGGGAAGTGCTGGGTTCCTGTTATCTCCGCGGCACTGATCTCTCGAGGAGAATGGAAGGTTCCGCATAGACGCGCAGAGCTGGCCCCTACGCTCTGCCGTGATGCTCCGCCTCCCCGCTCCCCGTGCATCTGATTCACGACAGGCGTGTCTGCCACCCCTGACCAGTGGTGAGCCCTGTGGCAGATTCCTGCAGCTGCAAATGACCCCCCCCCACTCCCCAAGACACACCTGGGTCTTTAAAAGAGCCCTTTGAGGGTTAATCAAAGGGGTCTTTGACTAGTCTGATCCATGATGATGTGATATGAGGAGGATAAAATTAGCACCCCCAGGTATTTTTCCCTCCCACTATTTAACGTGTAGCCTGCCCCTTAAAAACGCTTTTTGACCACAAGGGGAATCTGTACAAACTGCTGATTTATGGCAACAAAACAGTGTAATCAGTCTGATTAAATAAGTATATGCATACTGATTTACTATTTATATCCATATTGAGCAATAATCCATCCATCTTTGATGATATCCTGGCCAGGGTCACGGGGGGGCCTAACCGCATGTCTTTGGACTGTGGCAGGAAACAGCGGTCAAGGGAAATAAATCACAGCCCTGTTATGGTGGTGAGGAGGCGAACTCACCGGACACCGCTGGGCCAGATCCCAGCAGGGCTTGCTTGTATTTGTTGAGGCTTTCGTCATCCTTGTCCAGCTCCTGGATCTCCTGCAGGGACTTCTGCGCCGGCGGCTGGTAGTTCAGGTCCACCTCGTCGTCCTCTGCCTGCCCGGCCACGTGCTTCTCAGCCTCCTTGTCGGCCATGATGTCTGCGGGTTCAAGAGGTCGGCTCAGCAGGTTAACATGGCGGGAAGGAGCTTGGGCTAGATCAGTGTTTCCCAATCCGGTCCTTGGGGACCCAGAGAAACTCCACGTTTTTGCTCCCTACCGGGAACAGGGAGGGAGCGAAAATTTGGACTGTCTGGCAGGGAGCAAAAACATGGACTGGCTGTGGGTTCCTGAGGAACGGATTGGGATACACTGGGCCAGAGGGTTGGGCTGCTGGACACTGGTGGCTAAACTGACTTCAAGGGAACAGACAACTGCAGTGGAGGGTACGGGAAAATCCGCGAGACCGAAACACGACAGAAGCACAAGAAATAAAATACAACGACGCAGCCTGTGCAGAAATGAAAGAGCCAACATCGACGCTCCCCAATCCACTAGGGTTGGGAAAAAAAAGAACTGCGAAACACTCTTAGTGACATCACTTCCTGCCGGAATAATGCAGCGCGAGCTTGTAGGAATCCATCAGCGCCATCAAAGCAAATTCAGTTCATCGCAGTCAGACGTCCGCTTTCACACGAAAAGGTCAACTCGCAATTCGTGTCATTATTTCCCCATTTCTGGAGATGGCGACAGGAATGTTACACATGTTTAGGTGGCCATTTGTCAGTTTCTGACATGAAGCATGGTGTGAGAATCCTCTGGAAGTGTCCCTTGCCTCGGTGTCCCCGTCTGACCGCGTGGCCGCGTGACCGCGTGACTGCGTGGCCGCGTGACCGCGTGACCGCGTGACCGCGCGACCGCGTGACCGCGCGGCTGCGTGACCGCGTGACTGCGTGACCGCGTGACTGCGTGGCTGCGTGACCGCGTGACTGCGTGACTGCGCGGCTGCGCGGCTGCGTGGCGAGTCTCCCACAGACACCAGCAACAGCTTCTCTGCTACCTGCTCCACCAGTGAGAGGAGCAGATTTCTAAGCACCCTTCAGAAGTCATTATAGAGATGGATGTGAAGCTGATGAGGTCATTTGTTGTATTAATTAACCAAACGAAGGCATTATATGGAGAGGAGGGAACTCGTTAAGCGTCCAAGCTCTTGTTTGGATCAGACAGTGCACCGTGCGCCACAAAACAATGACATCATACCTTATACCTATCTACGGTGGGGGAGGGCATTTATTACCCTGTGAGGGACACGTATCCTTGGTTACGGAAATAAAGAGAGGGCGGTGCGAGGCAGCGGCATCATCCTGCATGCCGCCCACGTGGTTACCATTATTTTACGGTATTTACAACGTTATTAACGTTATTTACAAGGCACCCCCACTTGGGAGCGACACTGCCCCGGCCTCCCTCATCAGCACAGAAGTGGGCCTCTGTAATGCAGAGCTAAATCCATAATGGGTTTTATATTGGAACATCCATAAAGCGGGACGGAGACGCATTTAATGCGCTCGTTACTCTCCCTCGCCCATTTTGACCGAACACCCCCCAAGTCACATGACACCGGAAGGCCACCACCTCCAGGTTCATCCCGTCACTGGCGCTAATCACTCACCAGGCACTCAGTCCGCCTGCTGGCATCTGGCTGCAGTGCATTGTGGGATATGCAGAAACGGACAGTTCCTCCTATAGTTTTTTTAACACGCCGCAGAGTTTAGGCTAATTTGAACATGCAGCTAATAAACAGAGTTTAAGGGAAATAGCAAAGAGGCCCAGGGGGAAGAAAAACTTCCAAGAGTCTATCAAAAATTTAAATAACCAGAATCTTTTTTTTAAGCAGAATTAAATATTAACAAAATAGTTCGCTTTCGACCACTAGTAAAACTTTTCCTATAAAAATATTTATAACCGGTGGATGAAAAATTCATCTTAGTCAGGGCAGCCGAGCGAGTGGGGGGTGGGGGGGGCGAGGATGAGGCTCTGTGCCCTTGACCCTGCAAGTTTGCTCATGAATCTTTCAGTGTCTGTGTTTCAGCCCTGACCACGAACCAGCAAGTCAAAGACCAGCATGTACAGTACTTGAGAAAAGAAACATGCAAACATGGATGCTCAGAGACGAGGCCAATTAATGGACGATTAAGTCAGTCCATTATAACCTAATTACCTTCATTATGACTGTGCACTGGCACCCAAACCTGCCCTGATTGGGCAGTTAGCTTGGCAGGGACACAGATCATGCCAGACCTGCCTCACGTCGGCGGGGGGGCCTTGCAGGCAGGTTAGCACCCCCAAAGGGGAATCGGAAACATCCCATTCCGAATCGGATCGGAATTTAAAAATTATTTTTACATTCCCCCCCCTTCCCTGCAGAGACTGCTATTCCAAGTTTATTAAAGTGCACCAAATAATGAATATGTAATTACCGGGGGAGGGGATTAAGAGCAGCACTGGGCGGAGCTTCGTGGGGGAGGTCTCCGTGTAAGTGGCTGCCAATAAACACAAAGAGCCCGCTGGGCATGAGAGCCAGTTAACCTTTGACCTTTGCAAGTAACTGCTGTCAGGGCCGCTTGATGTCAAACGAGATGGGAGAGTGGCGGGCGGGTCAGCTACAAGCCACCAATCCAACGACCACACCAGTGACCGAAGACGTGCACTGCTTATTGTGTTCTAAACGCCAGAGTATGTTTACTCAGTGGTCCGAACGGCCTGGGGATTGTTACACTGGTGCACGTGTCCGAACCACATCAGAGACAACGTTACAGATTCCAGTGAGACGTCCCTGGAAGATGCTTAGCATAAAGCTAAAATGATGCCTGAATGATGCCTGAATACTGACAACCCCAGACATGCTGCATTAACAACTGATCCAGGATCAGCTTACCCTCCCCAACCTGCAGGCATGACCCACCTGAGCCTTTCGCCTGCAGGATGACAGCCCCCCCTGAATAGCCCCCCCCCACCCCCCCCCCCCCAGTTTTATCAGCCAGGCACACGGCTGGCCATCAAGGCCAAGGGGACCTGGAGACTCAGCTCTATAAAAGCAGATAATTAATGGAATGGGGGAGGGGGGAGAGCAGACAGAGACACAATGCTAATCTAAATTCCTGGCCGAAGATATTTATGATCTGACAAAACCTACACTGGGGGAGGTTATTTTTTACCAATTATTATTATTTTTTTTTTTACTTGTTGTTACATGCCAGTAGTCAGACTAGAAATGGTACTGGGCACATCAGAGCCAAAATTCCAGTATGTCCATCAACGGCTTTTTCTAATCGGCAGGATTTGGATGAATTCCTGCTTATCAGATGTGTGTTCAAGCAAAAAAAAAAGTAAATAAAATCAATGCAGCTGGTATACGGCACAGGAATGAAGGCCGGACAGTCGAGTTACAATTGGCAAAGAAAACGACAGTGAATCTGGTTGTTAAATCCCATGATTCAAACATGGAGGATAGTCGCCAAAGACTAACTCCCAAGGAACGATACGGAGGGACTCGAACATTCCGTCACGACTCAGATATCCTGCCACAGACAGATCTGAACTTGCAAGACCACGTATGGCGTCGCCCCGGGGGAAAATTCCTACCCATCATACACGTTCGCTTTCCCTGCTCCAGGAATTCAGGAACTGTCACTGGGTCGAGCTGAATCTTTTTCTTTTTAAAAGGAGCGATCCCCATTGGTTATGTTTAGATCTAGATCTACAAGATACTTCTCTCCTGGACTTTGTAGGAGTCGTCATTAAGTTGGTGGTTCGCACGTTTATTGTCCCCAGACGCATGCCTTAGTGTTACCATGGTCACCAGTCATGTTCCTTCCGCTGCCTCTGTCGACACTCTGCACGGGGGACCGGGAGTGATGGCAGCGCTGCCATCGTCCATCTCCCAGCCTCCGGAAGCTTCCCTCACCATCCGACCGGCCTAGATTAATCCCCAGGGTCCTTCGCGAGTGCCACAGACCTATTTATTTCGAACCTCGTTCATTAAGCAGCCGTCTGGCCGACAGGCTGGTCCGCAGAGACTCTCGGGGTGAATTCAGAGGCGGTGCAGGAACTAGACAGACAGGTGTAGCCACAGCTGAATGTGAGCAGAGATTCACAATTAATCTGGAGCCAGCTGGGCATTGAGGAGTTACCCCCCCCCCCATCCCATTTTGGTACAGATGGGATTTTCCCAAACTTAAAATAAGCCGCATCGTTGCCCTGGATCTACAAACAGGCCACTCTGCTCACGCCCATCATCATGAATCCTGTCCGAGAGAGATGTGGAGTGTATGTACACAGCCTGCTTCGCACTGGTCGCCGAAAAGGGTGTGAAGCTTTGCGGCAGGGAAAAGGGGATGCCCGGGTGGGCGAGGAGGCACTGTTGGGCGGGGGGGCTGTGAGTCCAAGCCTGTACAACAGTGACAACAGCCTGATCGATGCCCAGCCTGGCACTCCCACTCCGGCTGTTTAAGAGACATATCATGCATGGCTGTGACTCGGACGCGGGCAACAGAGAGTCAAAGCCAAGCCTCCTGTGACTCGGCAGGGGAAGAGAGCCGGATCAGCACCGCCAATAGGCATAGCGCCACGACAACGCCGGCAGACAGAGTTCAGCTAACCGTGGGCACAAATTAGGGGGGAGCACAGTGACAGCACCCCTATCCTAACACTGATGCTATCGAACCCAATCGCCCCCCGCCCTGTATAAAAAACTGTATTTCTCACCTCGGTAGCAGAGTGTCAACCAGAACAGCTCGAGAAGCTGACCGCCAAACTCACACACATCCAAGCCCAGCATCGTGCCTCGTCCGGATGTTCTCCGAGATTCCGGGTGAATCCAGAAAAAAGAAAAGTGGAGCAAGCGTTCCCACAGACGGATTTAAAAATAGGATTCGGCTGTAGATGGGATTAAAGTTTGATTGTCCAGGTGCACTTCCTGAGCGTCCAAGGGGCGGTGCCGGGGGGGCGCAGGAGGCGGACGGGCAGCACAGGGGGGACCCAGGACCTGCTCCGGATCGGCGATGGCGACACGCTATGGCAGAGACTCTCCTGGCAGCATGAGGAGCGGGCCGTGATGCGAAAGCCCGGCGTCTGTCTGCAGAGGCTATCGATTCACCAGCGGAGAGAAGAGAGCGCCCCCCACAATCCCCCCCCCACCCGGCTCAGCAGGCTCGGCCCCGTCGCTCATTAGCTGGGAGACTGCGATGATCTCATCCTTTTCTTTCCTCCTCTCCTCCGCTCACCCCAGCCCCCCTCCCTTGCTCCCTCGCTCTCCCCCCTCCCTCCCTCTCTTTCGCTTAAGCAGCAGCGGGATCCAAGTCTTGCCGGCAAATATAAAGAGGATCCTTCCCTTCTTATTGCACACAGGATCTGTCAGCTTACAGCCTGGCTCCACCTCTCCATTTGTCAACAAGGGACCCTCCTCCACCAACCCCCGGCAATTTGAGCCAGCGCCCGCTCCCCCGTGGGGTATCCCATCACGCTCACAGGAGGTCGAGACAGAAAACACAGAGCTTGGCATCATAAGCCGAGTTACTCCCGCAAAAAATAAAAAGGATCCCGCAAGCACTGCGTTCTCAGAGTATCTTGCCGTTGCTGTGCAAGGTCAGCGCCCATCTGAATGGCCCCAGATGCCAAAGTGCTGGCTGCAGGCTGGCTGCAACTCCTCCACCATTTTGACTTTTGGCCTTTTCGGTTGAGAAATCGAATTGCGGTCAGTGACACGGGCTGCCCTCACAGTTGCGCTCTGCTAGCACAATAGACGACCGCAAGTGTGTTCTGATAGAGGGACACACTTGGGTCACCTGTAACAGCCTCTTTGTGTATGCAAGATTTTTTATTTTTTTTTAATGACCTCACAACCTCCATCAAGCGTGGGCACAGCAGCCAGGTGACCCAGCATCCCTGTTTCCGGGCAGATGAAAGAGGTGAGCCAGGAGAAAGAAAGGCATCCCCACGTGCAACCCAACCGGACATCACCAGGGTGCCGCGGATGACCGTGACGTCAACGCCAACCTGATGCCGATTTTACATGCGGACCCGGGTCTCCATGGTAACAGCAAAGCTCAGGGCACCTGAGCCTAAATGCCCACGTGGGTCCGGGGTCTGTCCCCCACCGATAAAAAGGGAATAACAATGGACAGGCGACACTAACTTTGCATCTCCCCGAAGCGTTTTATGAAGCGATTTTAACTAATTTGTCAGGCTGCAAACACACTTCGATTATGCGTGACTCCTCGCCTGCCGCATATTTTATCTCAAGATACGATTTACTACTAAATTAGTTATCTAATCCACATCACTTGAAAAGCCAGGTTAGCTGAAAGCAAGACAGACACTTTAAAAAAAAAATATTTTCGTATTTTTTGTCGCGTTAAGAATTTAATTTGATAGGATTTGCCCATCCTAATGCAAAGCGGGATTTTATCATTTGAATATACATGCCGGTAGTTACATTTAGCTATGAATCGCATAGCCGTAAAAACAACAAAATAAAGACCAAAGAAGCAACAAAATGAGAATAAACGAAACCGGAGCGTGCTGAATTAAGACATTCTTCCCCAGGGCTGTAGGCTATATTTTTTTCGCTGACATTAACACACCAACCCGCAGAATTACACTTCATGGGTTAATCACGGACCAGCCAGGACCTGGAGTGGGGGGAGGACTGGCTTCGGCGTCCCCACACTGCCCCCAGCGCCGGTGTGAGACGCGCCTCTCCATCACGCCGCTGCGGTAAACCAGGGGCCCAGGCGGAGAAGCACCTCACGCAGCGAGGAGAAAAGGTCTCTGTAATCTGTTAAGGCACAGCCCGACCCATAATGAATGAATGGATGAATGGGACTCCGTCCGCCTATTCATTCAGTTGCGCTCTGGGCGTTCTTAAAAACAATGAACACTCATCTTTAAATAATGCAGCGGCCAACACGCTGTAAAAACACTGTCAAACCGCATTCCCATGACAATAAATACGAAGCGACAGTCACGGTGGCCGAGAGGTTAAGGCGTTGGACTCGAAATCCAATGGGGTTTCCCCGCACAGGTTCGAATCCTGTCCGTGACGTAGTGACGCACCTTATTGTGCCTGCAGCCTACGTGCACTTCGCGCAATAATTAATTAAGTTGAATCTAAAGACTTACTTAAAATCCACCCTGTAAGATACTGTAAGTGGCCTCTATAACTAGGCTAAATGTTGCCAAACATGTTTGTCTAGATCAGCGCTCAGATTTACTATGCAATTTTATATTTAGTTGTGTTTCCTGTTAGACTCTACTGTCAGATTTGCGGAGACATGAATGTATTATTATTATTATTATTATAGCTTTTTCGCAAGAATCGATTAAATTGATCCGGCAGGGAGCACTTGTCCGCCGGCTCTCATGCCCTGCATCTAAACTCCGTCCCCTGGCGTCCAACTCAGTTAAGTCTCATTTACACCCATCGGTTTCCCGCAAGAAAAGCCAGCAGGCAATGCCATCAAACTAACCCAGAAGCTCCGATTTAATCACGAATCCGATTTTATTACCCTGCTGCGGTAAGGCAGAGATACCCAGCTCCGCGAAATGGGAAAGCTGCAGGTTGTGCGACGATGAATAAATCATACATAACTGCACAACTTCACCCCCAAATGTTTTCGGCCTTAGGCGGTGCGGCATCGAATCGGAGGCAGGCACCCCCTGCCTCTTTCGCGGGGCTGCCATCCGAGACACACGGATCGCCTCGGCGCAGAGGCATCCTCACAACTGCCCCGCATCCTCGGCAGCTGCTTTTAAGAGGCGGGAAGGCTTTGATCACGCACTTTTCCTGAAAAGAGCGCCTTCAGTTTGCCTTGAGATACGAAGGCGGGTGGAGTGACGGAGTAACGCCGCAGATAGAAAATAAAAGCGTTACGGATCATAGAAGATGTTAAGCAAAACGCAGGGGAAACGGACCACATTGGCGTGGCGGATTATTTATGGTTACCCTGGCAATCCGGCATTAAGCAACTGTGTGACTCTCAGTTAATTCTAGGCCTCTATACCTTGTTAATTCCCGAAAAGACATCTTCCTGCTCAGTTCATTTTAATACATCAATATTCTATTCCCTTGATCAGAAAATCGCTTATTCACTAGTTCTTCATTTTCACAGCATCAAACAGAAAGCTGCTGGCTGACAGACACCACACACGCACACAAACACCCCACACAATCATGCATTTGTGTGTCACATCCTGTTCAGAGGCCGTTGAAGAAGCTTCATTTCTGCTACCGCCGCCATCCGAACAATGCCGATTTCACTATTCGGCGGCAGAACTGCATTGCGCATGATAATATTGTTTTTTTTCTGTTTAACATCGTGTTTTGTTTGGTACTAACCAAATACAATATTGTTAGAACATTCAATCCCGTCTTATAAAGACTGCTGTTGCTAGGCCCTTACAGGCTATCATTATTCATGATTCAAATTAATAAAACATTCCAATCAATATTGCATTACATATTCCTACGTTGCTTCCCATTTTCTACTTTTATTGTGAAATAAGTTGCAAATGAGAGACGTGTCTTGATTTTCACCATCATATCTCGGCTGCAGTTTGGCCCAAAAAGATTTCATTTATTCCATAAAATGCAGAGCAACACAGTAATCTTTTGCAAGTAAACTCAATTTTAAATAAGACCAATGAGGATTAACACGAGCTCAAAACAAAACAAAACAGAACAGGCTGTTTTACATGAATTTACCGCACGATTCTTCTTTTACAATAATACTTAGGGCCTACATGCAGTAGGAGATCAGTTTCTGAGATATTCTACTTCCTGCATAGCGCGTGAAGAGGAACAGTCCCGACTATCTATATTTCATCAGTTAAGACGCTAGCAAACATGGCAGAAAATCAAAGGATCCTTTAATTCGGGGATTATTAACCTGGGATACGCGGAGAGATGTCACGGGATCTGTGAAATTACATCTTTATCTTCGGTAATTTCTAACTGAAATTTCCAGTAATATGAATGCAGGCGGCAAACCGCAGCAGAGCCAACATGAGCCTACCTGCGATCACAGTTACAGTTTTTAGTGATATTCTACTTAACGATCGTCACTACTTGCCGCAGTTATCAGAAGCGCCACTATATCGCACGTGATGTAGCTGGAAGGTGTCGGTACGCTTCACCAGACTACCAAAGGGGTCAACAGAAAAATTATTGAAGAACCCCTACTTCAACTAAAAAGGTGCCTTCATTGTGCAAGCATTTCCTGTTGTTTTGAAGAGCCTACTAATTTCCTTGCAGGATCTAATAAAGAAGCATCTTAATGTTTTTTCTTTTTTTACTAAATAGACGGTCCATATGGGGGCTATGACGAAAAAGTCTGGACAATTTAACTTTAATAGACAGATAAGATTCCTTAAGAGGCAGTGGCTAATTCCTTGTCCATTTGCTTTAAACGGACGGCTATTTTATATGCAAGATATACTTTTGAGGCAATGTTTTTCCATAATCATGTCATATTTAACTAGTGGCGGAACGTAACATTGTAATTCAAAAAGTGTGAATTTTTACTTTGCCTTTTTAGGATAGATGTGTAAGTCAACTCAACATACAAAAATGATCGTTTTAAGCACAGTAAAATTGGGAGGCGGGGGGGGGGGTGCACAAGTAGCTTATATATTTCTCATTATCAAAAACAAGAAACGAGAACAAATATAAGCCTACCAAGACTGGATGTTTCCGACATGCCGTAGACATGATAGGACAGGATGCGACGGCATTGCGGATGCTTTTCATAGTCTTACTACATTCTAATTTAGCAACAGCTACACAATCTCTGATCTCCGTGTTCAACAGTTATGAAAAGCAGATCTTATTCTTCATCACAATCAAACGAATGTAATGCGCTTTACTGCCGTTTGCAGTTTTACCCCCCTCCCAACCCCAAGTAAATCGCACAATTTAAGTTTCTTTAGGCTATTTGAAGTTTTCACTTTCAGCGTTTGAACTTTTCATTAAAATCGCATTCTAACGAGCATACGTCGAAGTGATACCCACGAATTGAATTACAAACAATAATATATATGTACTTTACATGTATATAAACTTACCTCCCAAAGCTGCAAGCGATCAATGTGTACCGAAGTTTTCTGATGCGCTGCACGATTCAGCGGAGGTCGGTTCAGGAAATAAGAAAGCCAATCAGGATGGAGGCGAAGCTATTGCATTACGCTACGTGGTTGAACTTCACAACTTGAGTGCAATATTTTGTGGGTCTACTTTTCAGAGCCCCATCATTCACAGTAGGAAACAGAAGCATTCATCAGCCATCGAAATATCATTCACTGATCACCAAGTAATCTTTTTTCATATATTAATTTAATGCTCAGTTACTTGTTTAGGGTCAAATAAATGGGCTTAAACACTAATAAAACACAATAAAACATTGTAATCAATAATGCTATTGTTTTGTTTGTGGTTAAATATTTATTATATTTGAGAGATGCAAGACTGTAGAGCTCTTTAAAGAACAACGCAACAGGTTAGTACTGGAGACAAGCTGCTTCCCAGTCGACAGTTTAGAAGCAGTTAATTAAATGCATCACGTGCTTACCTAGAAGTTGAGAGAAGCGTTTTCCGCGTTTATGCTGTTGCCATCTAGCGGCTAACTGAGGAATTCGATGAAGAAGGTGAAGGGTGAGGAAGTCAAGAAAGCTGAGTGTACGTTGCAGGTCGGAAGAGTACTTGGAAGTGAGAGGTGCATGGCTGTCCAAAGTTAGTTGCTGTTTCGAAGTATGCTACTTCCTGACACTTAGAACACAATAAAGGTATATAGGCTATTGAAATCAGTCGTATATATAGGGATAGGCTCAGGGACGGATTATGGGTTGTGTGGGCCCCTGGGCAAAACGTTCGCGAGGGCCCCCCTCACCACCACCACCACCACAATTCAACACCCTCCCTCCATGTTTCCATCAGAGGCCCTATAGGGTCAGGGGCCCTTGTAGGCAGAGGATCAAAGAATGTAGGCCCTCTAAAATAGACAAACGAAAATACATTGTTGATAAGCGTTGCAAATTGTTTTGGGCTAGGGGCCCCACGGGCGCCCTGCACCCCAAGGGCCCCTGGGCAGCGGCCCCGCTGGCCCGGTCCGTAATCCATCCCTGGATAGGCTGTATCACGAATATCTCTTTTACTTTAAATACCTGTTGGATTTTTACACTGATTCAAGTTGTTAATAACCTTAATTTTAAAACAAGATGCCCCTTGGGATTTGATCTTACTCACGTCACTCATCCAACAAGCGCCTCATGCGAATAGTAGGCTACTCGGTCATTGGTGCTTCGGTTCTTCACCAACTGATTTTTAGCGGAAGTCAGTAAACGCTAGCAACCGTTCTTGCCATAACGTTTCACTGCTGCTGAAGTTTTTACTTAATCTAGCAAATGATACTGTTCAAGGCAATAAATTAAGAGAATATATTACAAAATGTAATTTACTCCCCGTCGGGGAATCGAACCCCGGTCTCCCGCGTGACAGGCGGGGATACTCACCACTATACTAACGAGGAGATGTGTGTACAATATTTCTATATGTTCATGTAGACGACTACTAACACTCGAGAGTAATCAATGATTGAGTTTCTTGTCATGGTGGTCCTTAAGAGAAAAGAAAAGTACATCTCCGCTGATATCAGAGCAGCCATATAACTTTATATTAAGATGATACTTAAACGGGAAATTCCATGAAGAAACACTGTCACCAAATCACAGTTTCGCAATATTACATTGTGCGACGTAATACAGTGTAAGTAACCTACGTGAAGTCGGTAATCAAATCAAGAAAAAAAAGTGGGAAAGAAAATTTTTCTATTATTATATGGCAATTTTTTTTACTGGCCAAACTGAGTCTTTTTTTGAAGCCATAGTATGCACATTAACCAAATACCGAAAAATAGTGCAAATCTCCGGTAGGCCGCTTCACTTGCGCTCCACTATGGGGCAGTAACAAGCAGAGTTCGCGTGTAGAAGGAATAAAAAAAAAAACCCACACAGGACAGCATCAGTCAATCCCAACTTCACAAACGCCGGAGAGATGCTGTAAGCATGACAATAAACATCTTTATCCAAGGGAACAGCTGCAAGTCACAGATGCCGCGCCTAACAAAGGTAAGGTCTATTCTGAAGTTCAGACCTATACAGACGCAGACTATCCTTGAGTTGATTTTTTTCGGGAGATATATCAACTTCAAAAGTATGAACCGCATTATATCTATATCTATTATGACATTGTAAAAATCAGCTGTTGATACTGATGCATCACAAAAGTAATTAAAATGATTTTTCATTCTGACATAGGTCTATGTTCGTTCGGACGAGGATTTTATTATATGATATAAGTTTTAAATGAAAACCTTGTTAAAATCTATGGTTAATTCTCGAATCTAAGCCACACTTCACATATAAATCAAACTTTCATAATTAGGCTATAATGGAACATAGCCTACAACACCCAGGTATCCGTGGAATTTATGATCAGGCTATACGTTTGTGATAACAACAAAATAATTCAACATATAGGCTACATACATACATATATATACACACGATATATATAGTCCTATTGTGTGATATTGCCTCCTAATTATAGCCAAACATATCGCCATAGGCCAACATCAAACTATTTTCATGTAACACATTTTTTGGCAGTTTGCTTGTGCTTACTGACCCCGCCTTGAGCCCATCCAGAAAGATCCCAAAAATAACCGACAAGCAAAGGTTGTAAAAATCTGAGTATGTTTAGTTTAATGTAATCAGAAGCCGAATTAATAACGCAAATAAATGATCTAACCGAAAGTCTGTAGTCGGGAATATCCGATAACGTCTTTGACGTGCAGTTAAGATAATCAGAGGAAAAATCTTGTAGTTTTCTTATATGCCTAAATTTATATGATTGTGTCTATCCGGTGATATAATGATGAATATAACGATTACATATTAAATCAACACTCCGATGAAGCAATTGTTATATTACTAGGTCGAACATTTTCACTATGTCTGGTTCTTTTTTTTTTATCCCAGATTGAACAAGTCATTGTGGCGATGCAAGATCCCGACATGGGGATAAAGATGAAGAATCAAAGACTGCTAATCACAGTGATTCCACATGCGATGACAGGTGCAAGATACATATTTTACTTTTTAAAAGTATTTCTTTTTACCGCCCGGCTTGTCTTACCGCCGGGAGTGAGTGCCAGGCACGCTGTCCCGGGGGCCGGGTCCTAATGGTAATTTAAGCCCTTCACAGGAAAGCCCATACATCGGCGGTCTTCAGGAATCCTGTGCATTAAGACTGTCATCGATCTCCTTGCGCTCATATTTATTTATGTAATTTATTTATCGAGTTCAGCGTTTTTGATTTATGACGGCTTAATGCATTTCTCGACTCTAACTAGATGCCTTCCTCGCTGTGCCTTCCCAGGAAATGATATCGTGGAGTGGCTAATTCAGAAGTACTCCATCATGGAAGAAGGTAGGGCCGAGAGAGGTCTGTAGGGTAGCGTTACCTGGTGCTCTTATGTGAGGTTAATTGATTGTTTTTTCCCTTCATGACTACGATGGCGCCCCAGCTGGCGAAAGACGTCATCAGTTTTTTTTGTAATAAAATAACAGAAAAAACTACTGTCTTTTGAATAATAAACACAAATGATGTACTTGAATTTGTCATCCATATACAACAGAAGATTAGCCTAGCTGCATTTATGTGTAGGCATATGCAATTCACAACGTGTCTGACAGAAGCATGTTCTGTTCTATTCATATTGCTGAGCCTGTGAATGAATACGTGAGCTTATCCATAACATAGACACCCCCTTCGCCTGAAGCTTTTGGGATTTTCTTCCCCTGGCGTCAATTTATCTGCTGAATTATTTATGTTTCTGTTGAGAGGCTATTAGTACAAATAATCTTTAGACCAGTCCCGAGTCGCTTCTCTGCGCACGGTGAGCTGTACGGTTTGATAATCCCGATGCAAACGTCGCTGACAGCCAGAGGCAGTCAATCATGCCTGGAGAAATATCATTATCCGTCTCCCTCATTATGCACTTCTGGGAGACGCTGTTCTCCTGAATTCCCGGGCGATGCAGGTGAGGTTTTAAATAGCAAGGGAGCGGGCATCCCTGATTTACAGCCCAGATTGGAACATAAGTCGGAATGGAAAGGAGGGGACTTTTAGGCAGTAGATGGCAGATGCATTAACAGACTTGAATGTACACTCATGGGCAAGAAACCTGTTGCCCCGGTAAGCAGTTGCGCCTTCCTGTAAACACCAGGCTTCCCCCTAGCAGCGCTGTTGCTGCGCCGGTCTGAGCCCCCCGGGAGCCTCTAACGGCCAATGGCAGCGGAGGCAGCCGGAAAGTGGAAAGTCCCAATTACTCGTAATTAATTATAGTTCCGATGAGGAATGCACCATCCCCGCGGCTTATTCTGTGGGTGCATGTCCACGTTTTTTCCAGTTACTTGCTATACCGTAAATAAAATATAATAGGCCTACTCTGTGTTCTAGTGTACTAGTACTCCACTGACATGAATTTAGAGAATTAGTAAATCTGGGATACACGAAGTGAATTTGTTTGAGCTCTGAGTAGTTTGCGTGGAAATGAGTGACCACTTTATGTGTTTTCAGAGGCACTTCATGTGGGGAATCTGATCGTGAAGCATGGCTACATTTACCCCCTTAAGGACCCCAGGACGCTTGTCCTGCGGCCCGACGAGACGCCGTATCGCTTCCAGGTAACCTGAAAACCACGGTTTCCTGAGATGGAGGGGAGCGCGAGAGGGTGGTGGCCATGACTGGGCACGCATATCGTAACTATTCGTTGGAGAGACTGGAATTACTGTGTAGGACAGTGTTTCTTAATCTGGTCCGGTCTCCGGAGCTGGGAGGGTGCAAAAACGTGGATCATCTGTGGGTCGCCGAGGACCGGATTGGGAAACACTTATGTATGAGAACCAATGCAAGTTAGAGTAGCAAAATGCCCTCCACCCGCCCTGTCCCTGACATGTTAAATCATGAAGCACTTTTGTCACGGCGCTTTTGAATAGTTTCAAATGACAACGTCTCCTGTTCTGCCAGACTCCATACTTCTGGAGCTCTCAGCAGTGGCCAGCCTCCGAGCTGGATTACGGTGATTACCAATTATTAATCACGTGCTCTCCTATTACATAATTATTTCCCTTTACTAGAATAATAAAAAACACAGATTCTTGCCATGTTTCTCTTTTGCTGTCCTAAAGCAATTTATTTGACTAAGAAGAATATCAGAAAGCAAGGGCAGCTGATAGACTATGAAAAGGTAAGAGATTTTATTTATGTACGTTTCAATGTTATTCTTATTCACTGGTCTGAAGCACTGCATGATGAGATCATTTGATAGCTGAATGCTCATGGGAGTTTTTCTTAGACAAAATGTTCTGAGGGCAAAAGGAAAAATGATTGGTTCAGAGAGATAACCAATTAGATTGCAGATGAGGTGGATCCAAGCAACTAGAGAAGGCAGGAGCAAACAATAAGATGTCTTGTTCCCTCCGCCTCTAGTTGCTTGGACCCACCTCCTCTGCAATCTGATTGGTTATCTCTCTGAACAAATCATTTTTTCTTCTGCCCTCAGAACATTTTTGTGTAAGAAAAACTCCCACCAACTATGTGCATAGTAGGGTGGCACATAGACATCCACCAGCTTGCCGCCATATTGCGTCAGGGTCAAAGCATCTTAGGTTCTCTTCAGTAAGGGGGTTTGTGAATCCGACGCTGCCAGCTGATATCCTGGGAGGGGTTCTGCCTGTGAGTCTTAACGTGGACCCATGCGGCAATGCAGCCAGCCGTGTGACCTGGCAATGTCGCATTTAAACATTGTCCCGGCAGGACAGCTACAACATGTTGCACAAACGGATCAACCACACCTGGGACTTTGTGGTGATGCAGGCGAAGGAACAGCTCAGGTAAACCCCACCCCCGTCTGGGGACACTGTCGCATCGAGCTATGAAACCAATTTCATAAATGTGCACAAAGGGACAGATGAGAATGGATGAATAAATCTCGTATTAACAGGATGATGATGAGTTACCTAAATTGAAAAGTAACATGGTGTATGGTCATAATCTCCCTCCTATCTGCTAAATCAGACCCCTGCCTGAAAACTAGAGTAGGAAATCCATTTCTAAGTGAAAAAGAAAACAGAAAAATGAAAACCCTACCTTGCAGTTCAGTGATTACCGCTATATGCTAAGCACTATTACCCAGCATGCTCTCTGACTCTCCATTGGTTGCTCTCCTCCAACCAGGGCAGCCAAACAGAGGCGCAAGGCGGACCGCATCGTGCTGGAATGTCAGGAGCAGGCCTATTGGCTCGTCAACAGACCGCCAGTAAGCCCCTCCCCCGAAATCTGAAAACCCAGTAGGCTGTGAATAGAGTGAGGCACACACTGGGTGAATCCGAATTCAGTGCACCCTGGCATCTCGAATATCCCCTCAGGCTGGGGGCGAATCTAGGAGTTTTTTTAAGGTTGGTGGGCGGAGTAGCGTCTCTGAGGCTAGGGATCTGTGCCTGCAACTGGAAGGTTGCTGGTTCAAATCCCATGAATGCCTGGAGTGATTCTACTCTGTTGGACCCTTGAGCAAGGCCCTTAACCTGCAGTTGCTTCATCCTGGGTATGACGTTAATCTACATCCAGCCCAATAAGGAGGTCCTCCAATTTACAGGGGAAAACGTGGGGGTTGGTGGCAGGATTGGCTCTCCAGCCACTGGTGTGGTGCTGAGGTATCACCCGCCACATGGCTGCACTCAGGTTCTCATCCCTGAGGTGGTTTGTCATGTGTTGGGTGTGGCAGCATAATCATTTACGCGGCCAGCCTTATCATTACCCACTGCTCTGTTTTGACTCGGTGAGTGTCAGGAGAGGCGGCATTCTGGAAGCCAATCATCTTTCAGCTGGGGCTGGTGCCCCTTTGGCCCCGCCCCCTGTATTTACCCCTCCCTCAGCATCCGCTCCTTTTACCCTGATCACTATTATGAGATCGTCTGTGAGGGTTTTCCGGTGTGGTCTGGGCCTTGAAGACATAGGCAGTGTCCCATTCCATCACAGAGGGGGGGGGGGCATTTTATCTTCGTTAAGTAAGACACACAGAGTGTCTCCATGCATACTTTGTGGGGGGGGGGGAGAATATATCACTACAGGCCTGATAACCCACTACTGCTTCAGTGTGATCATGAAATATTTACTTAGCTGGGAAGAAGCCTATGTGCTGTGGGACGAGAGCTTTCAGCAGACGCACAGGACAGCAGGCTGCGGGGAAGAGTGGCCGTACCCTCGCTGAGTGTAATTTGGAGTTCATGAATAACACAGGAGAGTGGAGAATGAAAGCCTGGGAGAGGAGAAGAGTGGGGTGTGTGGCTGGCTGTATCCTGGCAGTCACTGGGACCCCGTTCTGCTGGGTGAGCAGCATCTCCAGCCTTGAAAGAGTCCAGACTTCATGTTCAGGAAGAACATCTCTCAGGGCTAATAAGCATCAGCGTTTATGTTGGCCATCAGCCCCATCCGGGGCGGCATCGGGAGGTGGGAACGGCAGCCGCGCAGCTGCGGATCACGTCCTAAATTATTTTGCAGATGTACATTTTATTGAGACTGCCCCTAGAGCAGTTGGGGGGTTTGGGGACTTTTTTCAAGGGTCCAGTGGCGATGTCACGCTGCTGACTGTGGGATTTAAACCGGCAACCTTCCAGTCTTAGGCAGCGACTGCTCAGCCACACACAAACCCTCATTGATGAAACCCACCGTTTTGACGTCAATCGCACGGAAACACAGTTTAGCCAAAAACCACGCAGTGTCGGGGCCCCCAGTCAGGTGCTGCTCGTGTGTAGAAGGCGTCCTGCGGAGGAGATGCTCTGCGCCCCGGTACAGCCTGGCTGACGGGGGAAGCGGGGGGATTTAAACCAGCAGACGACAGAACAGCCGCTTCCTGCCTCCTTTCTCTCTGCCTGAGAAGCACGAGACGCATCGCTAAGGCTGGTGATGCATGAATCTGGGAGGAAGGAGTGTGAAGAGACCCCCCCCCCCCCCCCGCCCCGCTTGTTGGGCCTTTTAAACGAGCTGGAAGAGGATCCCACCTCCGGAATACCGGATCCATTATCTGACCTCTATTCCTGCGGCTCAGCCTTAATGCTGCATGTTAGCGGATAGATAATGGATGTAATTGCAAATAGCAGCGTAATAATTTGCCAAATAGTCTCTCTGCTGTTAAATCCTGAGCTGATCTGAAGCACTTTAATTGAGATTTAAGGAAACCACGTTAAATCAGAATGCATTCAGAATCCATGTTTGGTTAGTTTATTCTGTAAACTAGGGTTTACAGAATGGATACTCATGGATACTGTGTTACCGAATGGTCCTTTTGGAAAGCTGTCACACTGCCCCCTACTGGGCAGTGTCACCATGGGCTGTACCCCGTGGCATCGTGGGAAATGTGGCCAGTAGTGTTAAGTGGTGTTAATGCAGCGTTAGACCTGCTTGAGATAAACGAGCTCACTCTTCACCTAAAGTACACCTAAGGATTTCTCACCCCCCTGATTTTCTGCAGCCGGGAGCATTCAACGTGCAAGACCAAGGCCCTGAGCGAAGGAACCGGCATAACTCCCGAGTGCAGCTGGTTTGAGCTTTTTATTAAACATATACATTTGTTCGGTAATATAATATGCCAGTACCTGCTGTTTATCGCCTCTGTCAGTCACAGGACTGGATCCAGGCAGACAAGGCTGCTGCTTGTGGCCTAGACAAAGTCAAAGTCATGAAAAAAAATATGTATATAAATATCTATATATAAATAACATATATATGGCAGCTATAGGCAGAATAGGCTGTTGCTTTGGGCCCCCAATTTACCTGAGGTAGTGAAGTGATAATCAGTTTTCATGGTAGGAGGGCCTTCCAAGTAAAGCGTGTGTGTGAGTGTGTGAGAGCGCTTCGTTGTGCTGAACTTTCTGTCTCCATTCTTTTTCACTTCCTGCTCTCATTTTCCATGCTAACGTAAGTACATCAGCAGTCCCAAAATACATACTCGTAATAGTGCTATATTATGCATGGTTTTTAGACTGGATGTCTGCTTAGTAAAGTCAGTAACTGAGTGTGAGCAGGATTCCTACTGTCTGATTCCTAGCATGTGATTCGGTCACGGGAGTTGTACCCTCACAAAAATGTTCTGAGGGCAGAAGGAAAAGTGATTGGTTCAGAGAGATAACCAATTAGATTGTAGAGGAGCTGGGTCTAAGCAACTAGTGGAGGCAGGAACAAGACATCTGATTGGTTGATCCCCCCTCCTCTAGTTGCATGTATCCACCACTTCTACAATCTGATTGGTTATCTCTCTGAACCAATGAACCTTATGCCCTCAGAACATTTTTGCGTAAGTAAAACTCCCATAAACATGTGGCTCATAGCATGTTCAGAGATGGTTTTGTTTCTTTGTTCTTTACAGAACAGAACGCGGATTACTACAAAGGAGAGGTAAGCCTGACAGAATTTGGAGTGAACCTATTTCAGCTGATGGGATGGTTGCCTAGAACAACCAAAGAGGGTGATTATTGGGCTCTTAAGAATGCTATCATAAGAAAATTGCTGCTGAATGATCTACATCTGTTATTGTTTCCTTTTGTTTGCACTCTCAGTTATTGACAAATTCCGTTTAAGGGTACAACAGCAGGGCTCTTATCAGGGGTTGGAAAGCTTTCTTCATCATGCTGTGCCTTTTTTCTGACTCTTATCTTCCCCGTGTGATTTTCCATGGCTCCCGACACCAGATTGAACACATCAGGAAATCCCTAGGCCGCTCGAGGGTCAAGTCCTCCATCTGTCTGGAAAGGTTGGATAACAGCCTCCCCCACCCACCCCCAACACCCGTGATTCAGCCTCAGTCCCAGCATGGCTGGGGGGCCACTGGCTCCACATCAGGCCACATTAGTCCCTAACTGGGGGATATCTCTGGGTATTCTGTCTACTGTGCCTGATTGGTGGGGGGGATCTATTTCATGTTCATTCTGACAAAAATGCTGGGGGCTGCTCTTTGTGAAAACCTTACCTCCTCCTTTCTTCCTTTCGTCCATCTTTCACCATCAATCTCAGAGACACACATATCCTGGGTTAATGATGCTTAACTAGTATTGACACCAGTTAACTATTAAACTGAATTGAACTGTATTTAACTGCAAATAATTACTTAAAATAATATCGATCAGAAGGTCGCTGGTTCAAGCCCGGCTTCAGCACATTTGCGGGTCCTTGAGCAGGGCCCGTAACCCCCAGATCCCTGAGCACCGCTACGGGTGGCTGCCCTTCACCGCCAAGCTTTCTCTCACCTACGGAGAGCAAGATGGGGGAGGCGAAAAGAGAATTTCCTTATGGGGTTTAATAAAGTATAATCATTTCATCATCATTTCACTTCATTTCCAACTCCAGCTTGCTGGAATATGCCAGCATTAAAACTGAATATTTGATGACTTGCAAGGTTTATAAAGAAAGTAGCACTAAAACTGGGATTGGCTGGTCTTCTGTGTTCAGCTTCGTTAAGTTCAGCGAGCAGTACCTGAACCATGACCCCATGATGCAAGGCTGCCCCCCCAGCAATCCCTGGATAACGGACGACACAGCACTCTGGACGCTGAATGCCGATATGTGAGTGTGCGTTACCCCCCCATCCTGCCGCTTCAGGGCCACCCCCCACCAGAGGTAACTGTCCTCTCTTCGCTTTCATGCCTCCTGGTGTAGGGTGGAGACACCCACCAAGCTGCGGGTGGAACGATGGGGGTTTGGCTTCACGGAGCTCCTCAGGGACCCTCTGGGACGGTGCAAGTTCAGGGAGTACCTGGAGAAGGAGTTCAGTGGTGAGCAGCATGTAGAACCCCCCCAAGTAGATCAGTTTCATGGAGGCATTGTCAACAAGTAAAATCATATTCATTGTTTGATCGTTGTGGGCGGTGTGTGGCTCAGCAGATTCGGGAATCATTGCAGGAGGTCATCAGTTCAAATCCCAGAGTCAGCTGAGTGACCTCACTATTGGGCCGTCGATCAAGACCTTAAACCCAGTTACTCGAGGGACTGACTGACCCTGCCCTCTCAAAAAAATGCATATAGCATCTGCTAAATAAATAATCATGATCCCTCTATGAAAGGCAACTCCTCCAAATTGGCATTGTGATGAGAGGCTCCTGCATGTAACTGATGCATGTGCTGTTTTATTCACAGTGGAGAACCTCTGCTTCTGGGAGGCCTGTGAGAACATCCGGCACGGCGAGAGCGCCACGATCCCGCAGAAGGTGGACGAGGTCTACAAGTGAGTGCGACCTTGTGGCCCAGTGGGACGGTTTGCATCCCAGTCGTATTTAGAGCATGCCCTGATATGGCACTTGCACACTCCCTGTGGGACTGCAAAGCTCAGGCTCATCACTTCCTTCCCCCCCCCAGGCAGTTCCTGGCCCCGGGGGCCAGCAAGTGGATAAACGTAGACAGCAAGACCATGGAGAAGACCCTGCAGGGCATGAAGAGCCCACATCGCTTTGTCCTGGATGACGCCCAGATGCATATCTATTTCCTGATGAAGAAGGTAGGAGCGTTGGCTGTGCACAGCCATGACAACGGATGGCAGCTTCATTAAAACGGGCCCTCGGCCTCTCCTCTCGCCCGCAGGACTCCTACGCCCGCTATTTAAAGTCCGATCTCTACAAAAACATGCTGGCTAGAGCCATAGAACCACAAGAGACCAAAAAGAGGTAAACTACTATTTTCTATAAAAGGGGACTTTCTGTAATATATTCCATGTATTTTGTATAATAAGGGGATAAGACTCATATTGGTGTGGGGAACACACAAGTTCTGTTTCTGGTGTATATCTAAGTAGCTGGGGTTGTTAATGATTAATTCCAGGGATTTTTGGGCTTAGTGTGAACTGCTGGCTTCGGCTTAGCCTCGTCACTAAGACTACACAGAGTTGTGTAACGTTAATTGCTTTTGCGTCCCCTGTGATGCTCTCCAGTTTCTGTTTGTAATTCCACGGTAGTGTTCCGAGTTAAGCATTTTCCAACATGGCTGACATATTAAAGGCAGTGCTACAAGTGTTAGCACAACGCTAATGGTGACATGTTCTCCTTCCCATCATGCCCCAGCGTCTTTCCCTTTGTGAGACGCCAGCGGCACTCCAGCCGTAACCCTGCCCTGTTCACCCAGGCCTTAGAGGACAACAGCAAGACCAAGTCCCTGGGGTCGCTGGCAAGTCCCACAGCAGCCTGCTCTTCCTAATATTGCCTCCTGGGGGGGATGCACTCTGAGCTCACTGCTGCCCCACAGAGGCTGTTTCGGGGCAGTGCTCTGCTGCTCTATTTGACGCAGTCTTCCAGGTTTTTTTTTTTTTTAACATTGGATCTATTTTTATTATAGTGTCATGTTAAATGAGAACAGACTAAATTATGGTTTAGATCAGAATTTTTAAGTGAGAAAAGTCCTGTGTCTCTATATAGAGGAAAAGTTTATTTCATTTAGTAACAGACAAGCCATAGTTGAGCCAAATATTGCCTTATTACTAAGTAATAAACATCTGCATACAACTTTCACTGAAACAATGGGTGTAATAGATAAATAGCCGTTTTAAAACTTGGCATTTTGCTCAGTGCTTATAATGTGGATTCTGTGTCCCATATTCCAGATCAAAACAGTGCACAGTATCGAGCCTGCATCATGTCCGCTTTAGATTCCAGTTGCTTCTCCTGTCCTTTGTTCATTTACTTCCTCAGCATTTCTCAATAAATTAAGCAAGTTTTTAGTTCACCTTTAGTGGAGTTCTGTCACTTAAATATCAATTTGGAATAACACAAGTGTCGTACTTCTCAAGGTACCTTTCTTTTGGCTTATAAAGTGCATGTGTTACTCTGAGATCACTGACCTGCTGGAGATGTGGTTCGGAACCACGTGATGAAAGCATTTCAAGAACATGCTTGCAGGTCATCTCGAGTTCTTTTTTTTTCCGCGGAGGGAATCGAACAACAAAAGGGATTAGCCAGAGATCCACGCCGCACGGACTTGCTGGTTTGATGGGAAAGGGACCTAGATTTACTGGAAGCACAAAGAAAGCAAACAAAATGCTACCCAACAGACAGGCGGAACAAATCGGTACAAAAGGTTTCAGTCACCTGTCTCCCCTCCCCCCAGGACAGCACCCTCCTCCCACAGCCTACCAACAATACATTATACTATTATACCGTGTCTTGGAAAAGTACTGGAATCCTACTTAGTGTTTCAAAAAGCAGCATATTTCTAAATTAACTATATCCCCGTCCCTGAAAGATAAAACTGAAGATTACCTAGAGTAAGATGAATTTCTACTGCATCTCATACGTTCATTGAACACCGAAACTTTCTTCCACACTGTGACATCTTTTAGAACTAAATTTTCTACTATGTTGATCTTTAAAATTTTCCATTCGGCTCCAGTCTGAAAACACGGGTCTTGAATAAAATATTGAGCTGTGAATGTGAAGTAGACAGTGTCGCGGTGAGGAATGCGTCAGGAATATGGGACGCGTCAGGAAGTTTCTGTCCATTACCAAAGCCTGGGATATTCATTATTGATGGTTTGTTTATCAGCTGCTGAAGCTCACAATGGAAGCCCAATACTAAGTGTTTTGAATTAGTGAAGTTTACATGTTTTCCCTGGGTACTCTAGTGCCTTCCCATAATGCAATGCGTTTTTGTGAGCTGGCAAACCCTGAATTGTTCTTAATGTGTGTGTGTGTGTGTGTGCGTGCCCTGTGGAGCACTGGCAGCCACTAACAGCCTCATGTCCTATTCTAGCTATGATAGGTTCTGGGTTCACCGTAACCCAGGACTGGATAAACATTTTTGAAAGATGGATCGATGGTTTATTAAGCCCCTGGAAGTACCCTTCTGTTATACCTTAGGTATTTAAGCAGAATTAGTGCAATGAAATATTAAGCCAGGTAAGCACTGTAAATCACAGCAGTACTTTGCCCCTAGTCAACTCTTAAACAATATTGTTGAAATAAGTTTGAGTTTATAACAATAACCCTTTAAAGAAAGCAGAAATAAATGTTTAATAATAATATAGCACCACTTGCTTTATTTCCTTATATGGTTTTGCAGAATCGTTCTGCACTTTTTCTTGTGAAGGTTCTGCGTCATGAAAGTTAAAGCCTTGTGCCCTCTGCACCCACACAGTACGAGTGTCAAATTAATCTGGTTGTCTTGCAATTCTTATGTAAAAAAACTACTATTTTGCAGATTACTTTGTAATAGATTTCCTCCTTCTTTTTTTAATTAAAATTGACTACATAAATCCTTCAACTCCACTACCCATCAAGGCAATCCTCATGATTCTAGCAGTGCACAGCTGACTGATGTTCTGCAGTTCTTAAAAATGCATGAAACTTGCAGGATAAAAATAAAACAACTGCTTTCAAGAAAATACTGAAATTCTGTGTTCATATTACTGAAACATACAGGTTTAAGAGACAACGTGAAGTAGGGAGAGGGATTGGTGGGGGTGGGGGGGATTAAGGGCACTGTCAGCATAACATCATAAAGACGGCCCCAATGTCCATTTGCCATGGATTATGTAGCATTCTGGGACTAAAAAGGACCCATAATCTGATTAAGTTTTCACATCAGACTAATGAGTGAATCTTCTCTGAAAGCATTACTGACGCATAGCCTGGCATTTCATCGTCAAGCGGAAAACGCCCGGCGTCCATAGCGCCGCATTAGTGCGTTACGGGTTCGTAAGGTCCACCTTAACATGTCATGTGCCGCTTAATGCGTTGTTCCTCGCATCAGTAATGCATCATAAGGTCACAATACAATGTTGCATCTTTCTGCAACTTTACAGCAGGGCTGGACAGTCAGTTGGCGTTCAGGGCATTTTCAAGGTGGGCCGATGGGTATGTGAGCCCCCCCCCCCTTCCCAGTCAGCAAAATTTACTGCACAGCAAAAGTTATGGGGGCCCCTGCTCTGTAAAATTTACTGTGGTGGTCCAAGGAAACTTTTAAAACACAATACCTCAATCTCTGGAGTCCTTCAAACCTTAGTTAAAAATATACAAAGAAATCTATGCAGGGATCCTGCTAGATAGTTTGGGCCCCATGAATGCATATCATATTGGGCCACAAACCCACACCAATGCAGTTATGTTCCAAATTTTTTATTGTCCTAATCTGCCCCCCTTTATGGCGCCACATTACAGTTTCAACCAAATGTTATGTGTTAAAAAAAAAATGTGCACCGAATTCTTTAACATGAAAGCAAACATTAACGAAAACTTAATTAAATGTTGATTGTCGGTTTCAAATTGTTGCTAGTTACATATATAGAATTTCTCATTGTTCTGCTAATATCTGGGAAAATCGGGCTCAGGGATCGGGATGGAAAGGCATGTTCATGTCCTATGGCACACTTTTTTTATGTTAGTTTCCAACAACAGAAAAGTACAAAACATTAATGCACGTCTCATTTTTACCCCGTCAAGCTGCTTTCCAAGCTTTCTAGACCTCCCATTGAAATACATTCAGCAACATCTAGCTAAACAATGGGATTACCTCAGCAACGGGACTCATTTAGTCAGAGAATTTGTGTGCCAGAAGGTAGAAATTTAGGATCCAGACATGTTGCTCAATGAGTGCCAAGGAGCCACCAGCAGTATCGTCAAACACGCTATTTAATAGAAGTTTGCATTGTTTGTATAAATACAAATGATTCTTATTAAACAGCATGACTGACTCGTGCAATACAAATAGGCATATGGATCAAAACCTTTATTAGATTTCATAAATCACTGCAGAAAATCAAGCTTGGCAATAAAATTAAAATTATGCAAAATTATCCACTACATTCCAGCAGTTTCTATAAATGTACTCTACGGTGGTACTTGCTAATACCAAAACATTTCTCTCATCCAGTCACAGTGCTCTTTAAAATGGAAATACTTTAATTTAAGGTTGAATTAAAACACGACGACATTTAATATTCAGAATAATTAAAATCTGATAGGGATTCACATCGTTTAGCTGGTACGCTCATTTTTGATAGGTTTGAAGGGTGGGGAAAAACCCTATTTAGCTGATCTGGGTCACTTAGGTAAGTTTACCTTAATTAAAAACAAAATAACTAACAGCACATGACTAGTCGAAGTGTAAACTCTGCTGTTGGCAAAAACTGTATGGATGGACCTCCAAGGGCTCCAGCAGCTGTAGTGGCCTCGCTTGCCCAGTAGGGGGACCCCCTGCACGTGACATTGCAAAGATTTGCAAGTTGTAGGGTGCAGATGGGAAATGGGGTGGGGTACAAGGCATTTAAAGTCTAGCACAGTCTGCAAGGACCAACATAAGTTCCTTTGCTCAATGCACCAGTGCTCTCTCAGCCAAAACACGACCCATGGTCACCCCCCCCCCCACTGGCACTCAATGCACCAGTGCTCTCTCAGCCAAAACACGACCCATGGTCACCCCCCCCCCCACTGGCATTGTTTGGCACCCGACCCATGTAAACCTGACCCCGATTTGCATAATTTATTCAGGTATATCTCAGAAACCAGAGTTTCTGCCATCTAGAGGCTGTACGGCACAAAAAAAATAAATAAATAAAAAAAAAAACATTCGCTGTGAAAAACACAGAACCTTCAGAATCACCTGGGGTGGGGGGGTATGTACTGTCATGCACTGGCGGGCAGGCAGTGAGCAGATGGGCGAATTCATGAGAAAACACTGTATGCTAAAAACCGCTAGCATCCAGCATGAGGTCAAGGCGGGTCGGGGGGTGGGGTGGGGGGGTTGGTCTTACCCGCACTGGCATGGGAGGAGTGGGAGGCATTGGTTAATGGTACAATGTGCAATACAATTATCTGGGAGAGGAAAATGAACTCCCCCTAAAATAAAATTAGTCGTGGGAAAACTGAGCCACACCCCCCACAACACACCAGCACATACACTCAAAAAAACTTTTTGGCCTGGCTAATCTCTCCCTCTCTCTCACACACACAGACACAGACACACACACACACACAGACACACACACACCTTGAAATGCTTTATACACATTGACACTAATGTACATCACAATGTTACCAAAGCTTTGCAAATGACCACATAAAAGGATTGACACCTAAGTGTGTGTGTGTACACACACACACACACACACACACACACACACACACACACACTCTCTCTGAAGTGCTTTAAAAACATAACTGATAAATTATTTTATGTGCAAACTGGGACGGGGCAACAAAAAGTCAGAAAACAGACATGAAATCGAACCCCTCCCCCATCCCAACCCAACCTCGATGAACAAAACCAGAAACCATCTGGGCTCCGGACTTTTCTGTAATGCACGTCTGGTGCAGGTTCTGGCGGGGGCTGGCTGGGGGCAGGGGGGCGGCCTGATGAACAGCGTGGCAGTCGCCTTCCATGCATCACGTCTGCGCCAGCTGGAGCTCCTCCAGGCCGTGTTTGCCCAGGTGGTAACGGGCCAGGTCCTTCCGCGTCACCAGTCCCACCACCTGGGCACCGGGAACATGATTGGTAGATAGAAGGCGGCATAGATAGCTGGTCATGTGACCAGGAAGGGGCGGGGGCTCAAGCACAGGAAGCCAGGGTAACAACCTTGATCTAGATAAATGGCCCAATGGCCAAAGGCTGAAAACCGATGCAGTAATTTTAGAATTTTACAATGAGAATGAAGATACGTGCTGAAGATGCCGATGGCCAGATGGCCTCGCAAGACAGACGTACCTGGTTGTCACTGTCCACCACAATGAGGTGCCGCAGACCAAGGGCCCTGAACAGCTTGAAGACACGAGGAAGAGACGTCTCCTGAAAGAGACACAATGACAGTCGCAGAACATGACCGTTTAGTCAGATCTGTCTCTGGTTCATTTTATAAACTCAAGGACCAAGACCAAGGCTGAGACTCATACCTGCGTGACAGTGTAGGGTGTGGGATTCATGAACTCTGTCAGGTCCATCATGCACTCCCTCTCGTCTTGGGACACGTGGATGGACTGGATCGGGGGGAAGCGAGGGTAGGCGTCCCGGAAGTCCTTCAGCTGCAGTTTGCGCTGATTGAGACGAGAACGAGCCCGTTCCACAAACACCTGGTTGACAAGAGTTCACCGGTCACAACGTGGATGAGCACACTTCTAATTGGTTAGCTGCACTGCCATTCACAACCGTGCATACAGTAAGCAAACCCCTCATTGGTCACTGGCACTGCCAGTCACAGCCATGTATTCATTAAGCAAACCTCTCATTGGTCAGCTGCACAGCTATCATTCACAGGCATGCATATACACAAAGCACCCTGACAGATGTTAGTGTGGACAGACACGCTCCTTCTTCAGCTGACATCTGCAGGAATCATAGGTCACACTCACCTTGTGTTTCAGGAGCACGATAAGCTGGGAACGCAGGATTAAGCCACAGATTTTCCCTGGCTAAAAGCACAAAATTCAGATTAGTGAAGCCCCAAAGTACACCATGTGACAAATCTCCAGAACAAAATCACCCCTAGTGGGAGGGACATACCTCACAGCCATCACTCAACCTGGAGACTACAGGGAACCCGTTGTGATTGGTCGAGGTGTTGCTGAGCACATCCACAATAGTGCCCACCTTCTCCACCAGGTTGAAGCAGGTCACTGGAGAGCTCATGACCTCCCTGAATGGACAGACACACCAAACTCGAATATACAGTGAGAATGAAGCACCAATGTCTTGCTAAATGCATGTACTGGGCTCTTGGTGGCATTAGCAGGGGAGCTCCTGTAGGGGGTGATCTACCTGGCAGTCAGGGAGTGGGAGGTGGCTGGGGCATCCCAGTGCAGGAAGGGCACACTTTGCAGCTTGATGTGGATGTCATATAGCCCCTGTGGGGATATTCGAGACACTCAGAAGAGCTTAAGGTCACATCTGCACAACATTCACAAGCTGCCCCCCCCCCTCCCCTGCCACCCCATGAAGTTCTACTTCCTCTAAGCAGATTTTGCTGGCACATTGAGGAACAGGGAAGCGGAACGAGCTGTCGCAGCACTAAGTGCCACCTTGAGTTAGACAGCTGTGCAAAAACAATAACGGAAGGGTTCTCAAAAGTCAGTCACTGGAAGGACAGATACAGAAGACGGCGTCAGACTGGTGGCTGGCTGCACCACCCACACTAAAAGCAAACATGAGACCGGAGCAGTTAATGAGACATGACTGGCCCCGATTCCATGTTCTGCACAGTCTGAAAGGCGATGAGGCCATCACTCATTGACTAGCTCTGTGAGCTGAACACATAACGCCAATGGACCAACCCGCTCCAACCTGCCACGTCAACACTGACCTCCACGAAATAATCGCCCACGATCTTCGCTGTCATCAGAACCAGCATTATGGGCAGGCCATAGGTGACGTTTCCGGTGGCTTCCACCATGATGACAGTCAGGCTGAGGGTCATCCTCACTATGCCACCTGGAAAAGACGTTTGTCAACAGACGCGAACCCGGAGCCTCATGTGCCTCCATGCACCTCTAGACGAGCTCTGAAAGCAGGCTGACCCTTGACATCACGGACACTCACCAAGCTGGGCGGCGGCTCCGATGAGGGCGTACTTCCCAGGGTCGGCCAACGTCTGTCAAACGAAATGCCACAAATCATAAAACATGCTCATTCAAAAACTTCGAGGGGCTTAACTTCCACCAAACATTGTGTTAAACTACATCTATGTCGACACGATGCTGGGTATCCCAGCTTCCCCAGGACTGGAAGGAAATCGATACAGCACTAACCAATAAGGCACCTTCAAAGAATCATGTGACTGCCTAAAGACTAAATCTGATTGGACAATACAAAGAGGAAAATCAATCTAAAGCAGGTGTTGAAGGAGGCCCTCTGACTTTTAAAGGCCTTGTTTGACCTCCTTAATAGATCAAAACCTGCTATGCTTCCATTAAAGTTTTGCACAAATAAGCAAATTTGTTGACAAAGTGAAATTGTGAAAAGGGTGTTTCCATTAAGTGACATCATGGAAATAATACTTGCCGTTTATGATTCCGTGCCTCAACATGGATTGAGCTTTTCATGAGATACGTTCACAAAATCGGCTTCCATTTCAGTCTTGCAAATCGTTTTTCATCGACTCGCCACAAAAACCACTTCAATCAAACAAACATTTTTTCCACAGTGTCTGAGGGTTTGTTTTCCTGAAATTTGAGCGTCCCCATCAACGGATTTTCAGTTTTGCTTCTTCAAAATCAAGGTCGGCGGAAATGGCGCTACTGTGAAGTCTCTCTCTGCTGGGGGATGAGTTCCGCTATTATAACCGCCCCTCTGCCAGCGGACGCCGCCGCCTTACTGGCTATACAGCGCTTCCCCAGGAATGGCGACCCGGCCTGATTTACCTGTATGGAATTGTGCGGCGTAAAGGAGGCCAGCAGGATGCCAAAGAGCCGCCCCCAGGCGGCGCCGATGAGCAGCGAGGGGATGAAGACCCCGGCGGACACGGTCAGGCCGTATGTCCAGCAGGCCAGGAAGAAGTAGGTAATGGTGAAGATTCCCAAGGTCACGGGATTGTAGGAACCTGCCGAGGGGGATAGGAATTCATCAGTGTTTTCCAATCTGGACCCATGGACGGTCCACGTTTTTGCTAAAATGTTGATCGTGTGGCAGGGAGCTGGGTCATCTGTGGGTTCCTGAGACCTGGATTAGGAAACGCTAAACTAGCGAACCCAGCTAGTTTTACTTGATTCGCCCTTGTAATGAGTATACAGGTTTACAGAAATTATTTCATGATGAGTGGCAATTTTAATACGATCATTTCCATTTCTCTACCGCAAAATATTTTCTACCTGTTGTAAAGTGTAATTTGAAGCCAATCAAGACCAAGTCAAGATACTTTGGTACCTCTTTTGTCCACTAGAGGGCAGAGATGAATAGTTTAGTGCTGATCAAACTTGACTTCGGTGGCATTTGTCAGGGCACTTAAGATTCAAGATTCAAGATTCAAAGAACTTGATTCAAAGAATCAAAGATTCAAAGAAGCGCACCCGTTCTTCCCCTCTGTATCTCCTTGATGCTGCTGCCCAGGCAGGGTGACATTCCCTCTTATCCCGAACGAGGGAAGCCTTGAATAATTGAGGAGGATTGTGTGTGCGGGTTTAGCTGACTGTCTGGGAAAACCATCAGCCAAAAGCGGCCCGTAAACAAACCTACGACACGACAGAGGAGTCTGACTGTTCAAACAGCTGCCCCGGACCTAGCCGAGTCACCACCCGCCTGTCACCAATATCAAACACAGGTGTTCATTCTGAAGATGGACAACGGACTGAAATTGAAATCTCTTCCAGAGGAAGGGCCCAGCAGGGGCGACCAATCCTGCTTCAGGTCACGACCCGTAACGTGTGCTGGAAGCTCCACGGACCTGCGGGGCTGTGGAACAGGCTGCGGACACTCCTCTCCGGGGTGTTGAAGACGGCTGTGGCCATGGAATTGTACTCGCCATCAGCACAGAACAGCTGTGAGGGGGATAAGTGGAGGTTCAGGCCTGAGGACGGAGTAAACGCCCTCTCACCTGTTCAACCAATAAAATTAAACCTCCTGGAGCTCAAGTCACCTCATTTGCCGTCTCCCAGACACTGGCAGGTTGAGTCCCGCCTCCCACAGACCACACCCCTCTGAAACCCCACCCACCACAGACCCCACCTCCAACTGCCTTACCTGCAAGGGGTATTCCTCCAGCTGATCCTCCCCCAGGGGCTGGCAGTCGTCAGAGAAGTAGATCATAGTGAAGGACACGGTGGCCGTCACGGCGGCAACCAGCACGGCCTCCATCACCTGCAGGCAGGGCCGGTGGATATACCTGGGGGGGGGGGGGGCATTGTTGTGGGACAACTTTCATTTGCATCAAACCAGTGTGGGGCAGGTTCAAGGTCAGCTCCACAGTCTCCGGATATGTGTCAATATAATTTGAAGTGTTTAGATGGAGAGAGGAGCAAGTTTCAGACAGACCAGGCCTCACACACAGGCAGACACACACACACACACACACACACACACACACACACACACACACAGGCAGACACACACACACACACATAGACACACACACACACACATAGACACACACACACACACAT